ACAAGATGAGTAATCTTATAAAAGGAATCCAAAAAAAGCTTATAAAAACTAAGTCCATAATCCTTCTGACGTGAGCAGGTCAAGGCGAGCAGCACCGTATACGGAAAGTCAACTTCCTCCCAAACACGGGCTTCGTATACCATTTATATGGTTAAAGAAATTTTAGAAGAAATATACAAAGTGAAAACGGACATGAGGTGAACAATTTCTGTGTACGTTTCATTTACAGGCAAGTAGTTGGTCAAACTTCTGTGCCCGGCCCGACCGAAACGACCTATTGTTTTATCTAGGATTCGAATCCCAGACCTCTCGCGATTAAGCCATCTATCTGAATCTGTATAGTATATAAGTTGTTCTTCATTCTCGACAACTTCAAATACATTAAAGGTATGTTCTACTCTTGCGTTTAAAAAACATATCTGATCTTAATAAACGAGGTGTAAAGTGAAGCCTTTTGTATTGTGTTGAACCCGATTGTGACCTTACAGCTCCCTGAAGTCCCCTCACTATAATATTATATAAATTTAATATTCTACAAAAGTATCACCTTCTATACAAGAGTTGTGAAATGACTACAAACGCATGCATGTTTATTGCATTGTGTGCATTCAATAGGGTTCAGAGAGTTGAATTTATTGTATTCAACATTTCCAAGTATTAAATGCTCGCCTGTAAACATGACCGATATATCCCGGGTTATAGACCTCAAACAATCGAATGTTGCAACGCCATTGCCTCACTGCGCTGTATCGGAGGAAACTTTGCGTCAGCGTTATAGGAAAAGGACTAGAACAATGGAAATTGGAAATGGCATCGTCAGGTGACACTAATGACATAAAAAAGGGCGGTACAGTCTAAGTACACGAGCGTTCATGAAACACAGAATATATCATCTAAATAGATCATTTGATTGAAAAAACAAAACCGAACCAAAATTTTAATTTTTTTCCACAAATTCAATGTTTGTATGAAAAATATGTATGTATGCCTAAATAATGATATATAATTATTAAATACGGTCTGTAGCTTACGCGAGTTGTTCACATTTAAATAAAACACTTCGAAGCATTCGAACAGTAAAAATAAGTTTAACTAATATATTTCGCGTTTTAAACCATTAAAGTGTTTTATTTATATGCATTATTGATTAGACTACTACTATGTATCTTCTATCTATATACTATACAATATACGATATACTAGCATATTTTGTAATATGCATAAACCTTTCTTTATATTTCATTTAAGAAGACTAATGTAAACCTGCCCTCGATTTTGTTTAACCTAGAAATATTTGTTATCATGGATTTCGTTAACTTGTAAAATGGCCGTGTTTTCTTTCTGTATTGGACGATAGTGTCACACCTTATACGAGGCCCGTCTAACTCATTCAAGTAAAATAAATTTAAAAAGAAATCTTAATTTAAAAATACAAATATAAGTGAAAAACAACAAGTAAGAACCAGGGTGGTGATTTGATGCTGAACCGGAAGAGGTCTTGAGTTCGAATCTCGAAAAAACATTTTAATTTTAAATCCACCACCTGTGTCACCTACCATCAGTGAGAAATATATATCGTGTTTGTAGCGGTCCATTTAAATTTCCACATCTTTTGGTCAAGTTGGTTTTCTTCTTCTGTTAGCCCATGCAAGTATCGAACGTATATGCTGGTATGCAGTATCGTGGTACATGGCATAAGGTGAATGACCTCAATATCCGAGCAGCATGGAGAGTGAAATCTCGCCGGTAATGCGAATGCACTTGTCGCCACAATCTCTATGTGGGCCTGCTAATGTTATAAACGCGAAATTTTGTTCGTAAGTTTATTTGTTTGTTCCGCTTCCAGGCTACACCGATATAATCCATGTTAAAAGTTCAAGTAAATACAGCCGACACCCTACCACAGCACAACGGCTGCTGCAAAGCATCCGAAACGTCGGGTCGAAGTTAAAAATAAGTTTAACTAATATTAAAGTGTTGTATTTAAATGTTCAGTAAAAAAATCACGTTTTAATGTACATATCTATGAAATATGTGTATGCGCTTAAGTATTTGAGATTAAAATCGATTAAAATCGATTACTATATCGAGGCGGACTGACGGTGTCAGTTCGGTTCGTAACCAATTGGGCTACTACCTGCGTCATCGTCGATTTTTTTTTCAACTTATCGATATAGGCATGTCTCGCGCAAAATGTTTGATCGTGTTGTCATTTATGTTTCAAATTTATAGCATCTTATGCATGTGAAGGATATTAAAGTTTTCCAATATTTAATACAAAAAACTACTTAAGCTATTGAAACGAGACTTCTTTTTTCAGTCATTAATTTATTAATCATCCAACGTTTTATGAAATTATGAGAAACAGTTCAAATAAATACTAAACAAACACACACGCACACTATACACATGTATGACCCAGGCTAGATTCGAAACCACATCTCACATCTAACATTCCGTTTACACTACCAATTGTTCAATATAAAATTATTTTTTTTCAATTTAAATAAGCTCTTGTTATACTTAGTTTTATACAAGTTTGTCTTAACTAAACAAATACGATGCAGACATCATCTTATTTTATAATAAATGGGAACAATGTTTTCACTTTCCATGGTGGTTGGACAATAAATTTAAATTTATCGCTAATTACAACTACAAACATTGAAATGAGGCTAATTTGTCCAAGTGAAGCGTTTTCAAGTGGATTTAGTAGAGCGAGACTAATTCATGGCTTTTACTGACTAATGCTAAATTAACACGCAGTTTTATGTTGCACTGTGGAAAATAAACAATTTTTAAGAATGGCCATCAGAATATATATTAGTCTCGTGGTCCCAAAGTACAGTAGCTCAATGGTTAAACGATTGGGTTAAACGGAATGGTCGTGAGTTTGATTTCGAAAAAATATATTAAATTAATTTAGTCGTGTTAAGTACCAAAATCTGATTAACAACTAGTGATAAGTTCGTACCACTATTCCATGTAACTACAGGAATTGGGATTAAGTATCAAGGCTGACACAGTAATATGTCCGTTTTACTTATTGTCATTTCATTGATAGGTATTCAATTCCTTGTACCAACACAACAATAAGAATCATATAATACATTTTAGAAGTACATAAAGTGTTATATTCATATTAAAGCAAACCAACATTAACTTAGAAAATATATCTTTATTAGCTAAACTTTTCCGTTATGCAATATATATTAGGTTTCTAAAACACAATATTATTGTGAGAACGCTAAATATGCTATTTCCGCATACGCAGTATTGTCGTGTGAGAAATGTGAAAACGTCCCATCGTAAATGTGCGAATGGACTATCACACTTATGTCAGAAGTGGCTTCGTTTTGTTCAATTAAACAATAATGTATAATTAAATGAGTTATACAACTGTTTGCTCCTAAATATATGTACATCTAAGAAAGAAGATGTCTTCTTTCTGATACAATCTTCTCACTTCTTGCACGTTCCAGTGATATAGTTCTAGGGTTACCTGAAAGAGATCGCTCTACAAATCGATAACGATAAGGCCATCTTTTGCCCTCCACGATTGAAATCTTTTATTTTTAAGAAATTATTTTTTTTTGACTCGGAAATTTGAAAGCTTCTTCAAAGTCAACAAACGAGAAAAAAATCAATGAACAAGACACATATTCGGGCTACACAGAATAAATTGTTTGATAACTGGGTTTGAATTGATAATCGGCGACGTTCAGAAACTTGCTAACTTGTAATATTATTGTAAATAAGTATAACTTTTGATTATCTTTCTATTTATAATGTACTCTACGTCTAACTCGGGTTCCAGTTAATTTAACATTTTGCTACGAATACTCATCTCAAGTTTCCACCGGCGCTGAGTGAAAGTGGAAATAAATCACTTCGACTTCACACGTTTTTAATAAATCGTTAACTTTAAATTCATTTACTTTTTCTTCATTAATTACAGATTAATGTTATTTAATACTTTGCTGGCTTAAATTTAAATAAAATATGAACACGTTCTTTTCTTTTTAATGACAGTATATTATGGAGAATAATTTAAGATTTAATAAGATTATCTAATAAAAATATTAATGTTTGATTTATGAAAAGCCATGCAAAAATATTGTTTTTTTGTAGAATTTGGTAAAATATATATTTTTTTCTTTTTCTTGTATGACATAAATAATTTAAACTATATTTTGCGAGACATGACGAACACTAAACTAAGCCTTAAAACATCAGAGTGGCATTTAATTTTTCGAGTAGTAAAGTGGTTCATGTAAAAAATTCTCTAAATGAGTTTAAACCCGAATAATTTCTAAATAATACATCGCGTTTTACACTATTAAAGTGTTTTATTTAAAAAAAAATATGTAAGTTTACAACAAACTACCACCAGACGTTTTGGTCGCAATTTTAACTTTTAACTTGTTTTGAAGTAGTTTTTTTATTTCGTACCTAAATGTTCAATTAAAATATTCAACTATCGGAAATAGTCAATGATATTAACACATCAGTATTACTTACACGAAATCCGAACACATAACACCGCACATGCGAAAGTTGAAAGTAACACGTAAATTGTATAAACACGTGTTGTGTAATCGCTTGACGTCTGTCCTGTCATGTTATTTAAGTCAAATTTTAGTGTTATTATGGTATTAAGAGTTTTGCAAATCACTACTTATAGCTATAAGCTAGGTTTGTACATAGTAGAATGAACGATTTCTTTTGTTGCTTTTCAAATGTTTTTTTACAACTTTAAAAATAAATTTCTATTTTTAGTTTGTACCTACTCCGCCAAACAAAGCTCGTGTTGACGTAAAATATCCTATTACAGTTCTCTATTGATTCAATAGCATTAAAATGCCTGGAAGCACTATCAAAAACTCAACCTTAAGACTTTATGTGCATTGATTTAGTTTTTCACCGAGCCTCAAATTATGTATTTATGTATTCCAATTATGTACCGACATTATTATATTTTTCATTTTCTCTCTTTACAGATGGCTCCCGTAAATAAAATACGGATATGTGCCATACTTTGGCTGATTTGCGCTGTAAGTGCTGAGGGCAACAATAATACCACAACGACGAAAACTATCAGGACTACTATCCTACCGTCGAGGACTACACGCACTGAACTGAAAGTTTCCCGGAGTCTGAACCCCCATGACACTCAGACTGTCAATGTTAGAACGAAACAAGGACATTTAACTCAGTTGATAGTGAAGAAAAAAGATTCGAAATCGACTACGCACGGAAGCAGCACAACAGCTGCACCGACGACAGTTCCTATCAAAACAACGGTACCAAATGTGAATGTTAAGTTCAACACAACTGACGATAGTAAAAATAAAACGGAAGTCCGAGATCAAAGGAAGATAAACTTTGGATCCGTCAACAGCGACTTAGCCGGTTTTGATTATTACATCAACCGCAATAAACACGAAGAGTTCAGTGACATCAAAGCGGAATACGGTAACTGGTCCCCAGTTTCGGTTTACCCAGAATCGCACATTCAAGAAAACGGCGGAAAACCTGTCACCGACCCAGAAACTTCCAGCTATTATCCCACTTATGATAATCAAGAGAAAGTTGAAAATAAAAAGGTCTACATAACATCTACCAGTTTTATGGACTATGGTGGGCCCATCAAAAGTTACAGGTTTGATCCGCATAATCCCGTTATAAAAAACGACAGAAATCCCGTATACATAGAAGTTGTTAGCACTAAAGTCTCTGATGGTGAGGCTAAATCTTATAAAGTACCAGATCCCGTGATGGTTAGCTCGGAACCAATGTATATAAAGAAAGCTATTGAAAAGTTTAACAAACGTGGTAGGTCAATATTAACTTTAGGTGACGATGGAATACCTGAAATACAAGGAGTGAGAATGCCTGACGATGAGTCCGACAAAAAAACATGGAGAAACGCACGGGTAGTTAACGGTGAATTAGTACCTTATCCGGAAGGGTACACCCCTCCTAAAGCCATCCCAGAAGCGGACGTCTACCCAGATTTAGCAACTGCAGACCCAGCTCAAAGTTTAGGACCATTTACTAAAGAAGACAACTTTGAACCGAAAGATGGGCCATTTACAAAATTTGATAATATTCACTTTGATACAGATGAATTTATCCCTTCGTTCCCTTACAAATCTAAGAAGGAAACTCATTATATTAAACCTAGCTATGGCCCATTCACTAAGGCAGATAATTCAAAAGTTGCCAATTCTAAATTAATTGAATATATCAAACAAATCAATGAACAAGAATCAAAGCGTGATTATTTTAGCGGCCGTAGTTCGAGAGCGCACAACGGCGATTTAGAATATGCTGAAAGTCATATCCAAAGGCGTATGTTGCAACACCCTGGCGACTCCAATTTCCCTAATTCAATTATGTATACGCCCAAAAACGTCAAGCCCGGTTTTGACGAAAGTGTGAGGAATCCTGTTCTTCAGTACGCCCATCCAGATCTTGGTGTTCAACCGGCTAAAGCTACTCGTGATGGTATTGAAAATTACGAAAATAAGCGTAAAATTAATTACTACACTAATATAGTTCCAAAAAGCGCTCATCCGTATCCAATGGAACCGATAAATGGATACAACCAGCAGCGCAGTCAGCACATCCCGTCTGTGAATAGATATTACGAAGATGAATACAATAAGTTCTCATATTACGACCACAGCCCAGCGAAATATCCTTACGGTTATGGCTATGTCAAACGTATTCCTGAACCATCTCTATGGAAGCGATTCACAGACTCGATGAAGGATACCATTAATACTGCAAGCCAAACTGTACAACAATTCACTAAACCTTTAATAGACCCAATCGCAAAAGTCACACAGCCCGTGTTTGATCCATTAGTAGAAGCAACACAAAAAATATCGCATAACTTAGGATTGTACCCATCCAACGCAATACAGAGTCAAAGGTACGCTCAGGATAAAATTGGTGTTGCCGCTGCAGCATCCGGTTCTCCAGCGATGCTTCCGGCTCTTGGATTAATGGCGAGTGGTGCCGCTTTGGGCCTCGGAGCCGTAGCCATGGGTAGACTTTTAGATGTTAATCTAATGCGTAGCGCTGACGATGAAGACGCAGTAGAAAAAGAACACAAAAGATCTTTCGGTGATGCGGTTTACGATTACGATAGAAAAATTCTCACCAAGCAAAAGTTCTTTGACGATAATTATAAAATGCCCAGTGAAAACGTTTATGTGGTGATGTCACCCGACGGTAGTGATAGGACTAAGCGTAACGCCCTAAACTATAACGAGCCGTTTGAGGTTGTTACCGGAGTACGCCAGCGACGCAGCGTGAAGCGGGCGCTGGTTGATGATATGACAGATGAGCTGCAGCACCTTGACTCAAGCCCAGCTCAGTCGAGCCTCACGTCTGCGGCCATGGATTTGGTGAAACAGACGGACTGGAGAGACTCGCAGTGTGCCAAATTTACGTTCTGTAAAGTCCTAACTTCCCAACCATCGGATTCCATGTTCGCTATGGAGAAGAAAATGGAGTCACTTTTAAAAATGTAAGTATTTTTCACATCTCATGCGTGAGTATCGAAATTAACATGTGTTAAGGTCATAAAAATATCCCAAAAATATATATCTATTCTAGAATCAGTATTAACTGAAACTATAATTAATAAAACGAATTGTTTATATGCAAAACGATAACTTGGAATTTACGCAGGAATTTAGTCAATCGATATCAGCATAGCAAAGAAAATATATGGAGAAAAGTGAAATGCAGTCATTTGCAATTTCTTCACGAATTGTAAAACCACGCAATGCATACCATTATGTTGGACACTATATAAATTTCGTGTACTTGTCTTAAATCTGATTCAAATGTGCTATTATGCGATTTTATTATTTTATAGTACTTTGTTCAACTGAGTCAAGTTCAATATAATTGGATTACAAGAATCTTAATATAAAGATCTTATTATTTAAAAAATACTAAGAGTATGTTTATAAAATTCAGAAATAAAGACTGCGTTTTGTGGTTTGGTGGTGGTAATACCAGCAATCGACTGTCTGTCATCATCACAAAAACTCAATACAATTGATCTTTTAAGAAATTATCTATGTAGTATTTTATTAAAAGCCAATGTTACATAACAGACAAAAAATTCTACGTCAGACAGCTTGCCGCCAAAACTAACCTCAGTCTCTATAATTAGTTACATAAAATCGGATAGTTGGACAGTGAAAGTGTGCGGGCGGCATTCCAAACGAAAAGGCGGGAAACTTAATTTGTTAATTATTAAAGCGGAAATAATTTTTATCATTATTCACAATGATTTCGTTAAAATAACGCTTTAAAATTGTTCATGCAAATACTGCATTACTAAGAATCCAACACAATATTATAACTTGTATAACTTACACGTTTTACACACGAGTTTCAATCGTAAAAAAAAAACATATTTAAAAGACCTAATATACTCTTTTTGTAAGTAATGTTTTTAGACCTGGAGAAACTAAATTATAAATCGCACAGTCGATATTTATGCAGATATAACATACCTATGTAAAGCAACCTAATATTGCCAATACCCAATAGAATTAGTAAAAAACATTATAGGAACATGTGAACATGTTTTTAAGTCAATGTTGACGTAAAAACTAGCAAGTTTCTTGACGAGAAAGCGGAACGAGCCCTACAGCGCTGAGTCAAAGTTATTGCGCCGTCACCTGGCACTCCTTGTATGGCGCAAAGAAACTAACGCAAAAACTTAGGTTAATAATCGTAAAAGCAGAAAATGTATGGCATCTCTTGACGAGCCCTCGATGTCACGGAAAGACAACTTTTACGTTATTCTTTGGAAATCGCCATTTAACAAATTGGTATATATTAACTATTGGGATATTATTGTTTGTTATAATTGTAGCTTGCCCTTTGAAGAAAAATCGTCGAAATTTTTGATTCATAAGAATTGAAAAATAAACATTTATATATACCACTTTTACAACTTATAGCGAAAACGTTAACTAATCTAATCTATACATAATGATTACGAGTATGTAACGAAAACTTATACATTAAAAATCCTTTTTAAATTGAAAACATACTAAACTTGAGTCAATTAGCTATTTTTGATGTGACAGTGTGTAAGTACACTACCTTAAATAAAACACTTTAACGGTTTAAAATGCGATATATGTTAGTTAAACTTATTTGAATTATTTTATCTACGGCCCGATGTTTCACTGGGTGTTGTGATCACGGGAAGACTAAAGATGGAGGATGTCTCTGACGTCAAAGTAAAAACTTTCGTTAAAACGTAACTATTTAAACCGTTAAAGTGTTCCATTTCAATGTGTACACAATTCTGTAAACCGACAGTTTTATAATACCTCCCTTAAGTTTATAGTTTACGTACCCAGCAATAGTTAAATAGTAGTAATAATTTGGGGTCCTGTAATAATAAAATTAAAAAAAATTCCAGGATATCGAGAGGAAACAGTGCCAGTGCTGCAGTCGTAGCACATCAACTAGGGGATGTGATGGCTGCCAGCAGAGACCACGACTGCGCAAGATTTCAATGTGACGCGCAATGATCCAAATTCATATATAATGCAGGATGTAATTAAAATCTCTTCCCTAACAATTCAGGCTTAAGTCCTAGCTAAATTAGAAACAAAGTAAATGGGGTTGCAAATATTGTACCCCTTTCGTCTTAACCTTAGCGCGGTTTGCAATCGTAAACTTTGAAAGGGTTTATTGAAATTGCTGAGGAAATAAAAAGCAATAACAATTTACAAAATAATACATATATTGTCTAATCAATGGTAGTTAATTGGAGAAAGCAATTTCCTTTAACACTAATACAGTTTATAAACTAAAAAAATATATACTATTCAAAAACTGTTTATTACTTTGTTTTAAGAAATTTCTGGATAGAGTATTTAAAATATACTATTTAGTTCTTAAATTATAATTTCATCGTAATACCTTAACATAAGATGTGATTGTAACGTTGTGAGTGATTTTTACTTAAGAAATAGCTATAGGAGTTGTATTATAGTTAAAATTTATTTATTAAATATTTTAAACAAAGCAGTATTGCCATGCCACGATAGAAGAGAGAAAATGTGGACGATTAAATTTTGTACCCCTTACCTTTTTTATACCGCAATCAATAACACGAAAAATGTTATAAACGATAGCCTTCACTTCATACAAGAAATATGCATAAAAAATGTATTTTTATCACGAATATACCATAGATTCGAAATTTATTGTAACGATATTATTTAAGCTAAGACACGAAACTTATTTATTTAAATTATTGTAAACTCGCTAAGATGTAAATACGCTTTAAAATTTAAGTTATTTATTTTTACAATAAAAGTGGAAAATTTAAATCTTGTTTATTAAAACCTCGACATACCATGTACTGGTGGCTACAAATGAAACAAGAAAATAGAACAATTAACTTTATTTCTTTTACGAGGTGAGATGAATATTCACTATAGTTTCCTGTTGGAGTTCTGCAAGAATCAATTGTTTTTATTATAAATACAATAACTAGGGGTGGGGGGGGGAGGTTGCTTACGATAAGACGAGCAAACAGCAAAGAAGATATAATGAACAAAATTATTCACACCAAAGGAATCAATGGAAACTAATACATTATTTCAATAATGAGATTAATTACTCTGATCTCCAGCTCCAATATTTAATGGTGGAATGTCATCCGTCTTCTGAACCATCTCATTGCACTCAATACAAGGTTGAAGGTCTTCCTCCATCATATATAACTGAAAATAAACTTTAAAACTCTCATTTCGATGATAATACTATTTTGACCGATTATTCGTAATTTTCAGTTGTTAGTTGTGTCGTTCGACGGACTCGTTGGTCTAAAGCAATGCATGGCTAATAAACAACAGGTCGTGGATTCGATCCCTACCAGGTCCAACATGTTCCAAGTTTTTCAATTTGTCATCTTCTGAAACTTATTGGACTTTGTCTGGTTATTACAATGGGTGGTATGAATATAGGAATTCGGTCCGGGTCACGAACCACCGTCCACAAATAAAAAAGCCGTCAAGTTACATCGCATGTCAGTTTGTCGAATTCGAATGTACAAAGCCTCGCGCATCTTGTTTAAGTATTATATGGTTAAATACCACCTTCTATCAAGGGAAGCTCATGGTTTTTCTATTTAGTATAAAAATGGAAAATAAAACTTACTCGTCCATCTGACCCATAACCAGTATAGCGCTTTGTGGGTGGAGCGTGTTCGAGCGCCGGTAATTCGGTGGCCTGCTCGTGTTTTGTGTTTTCAGACACCATCGTATGTGATCCACCGCACCATCGGTGGCACACGTGTCTATAGCAAAGTAAACTATCAATAACAATGTCTAGTATTCGTACAAGACAAAAATACCACAAGAACAATATGCTTTTTTTTAATACTATTTAACTACTTAGGCTCCTACGTAAATACACTTAACGCCTTAAATATATTAATAATCCTATTGAAAGTTTATTTTAACTACGATCCGACGTTTCGGACGTTTTGCAGCAGCCGTGGTCACGGGAGGACTGAAAATGGTGGATGTAAAGTAAAACCGCTAGCGCTTTTTTCCGTCGTCGTTGGTATTTGTGACTAATACATTTCGCATTTCAAACCGTTAAAGTGTTTTATTTTAATGTGTAGAAGTCGCTTTAACTACAGACTAAATGGTACGATAACCTATTATCAGGTAACTCAGGAGGCATCCATTCTTTGAAGCACGGTTGGTCGGAAGGTGCTCCAACGGGCGGCGGCCTCAGCGCCGGTAGACGGGGCGGAGCACCCTGAGAGGCGCCACGCGGAGACATAAGAGCTGCTGCACCGCAAGCAGCACATGACGCGCCCACCGCTAGCTGGCGCTTAACTATGGCTGCCTTTAATGAATAATAAAATTGTTTTTATTTGTTAAAATAGGTTTATTCAGAAACATCACACACACGACAGCAACATTTAAAATTAAAACTTATTCTACAAACGTAATACAGGTGATGTAAATAAGAATTTAATTAAATACACCAATATTATAATATAGTTGCCTCTGAAAAGGAAGCCACTCAGCTGCACGTTGGGAATAATGTCCCAACACTGATATTCCGTCGCCCCTTCAAAGATTCAATAAAATCTCTCAGCATGAGTGGATACTGGTAGAAGCTCAGTTGTTAGAGCAGCAAGGAACGTACGTGAAACACCCCAGCCATAAAACATCTAAACAAGATCCTCTGTCGACCTATATTGCCTTTGGATATTCGGAAATCCACACACTGAAACCGAAACGTGATTAAACTTCACGGATTTTTTATCTGTGGACAGTGGTTCGTGGCCCGGACGGAGTTTCAATATTTCTACATCCAATTTAATATCCAGATATCCAGACGAAGTCCAACATGTTTCAGAAAAAAAAATTGATTAGAAATATGTTTGACCCGGTGGGAATCGAACCCAAGACTCTTTGATTATTTATAGATTAAGCCGTACATTGCTACCATTACACCAACAAGTCTGGCAAAAATTTAAATTACAGGTATCTTACTTTAGGCTCCCCCAAAACGGCAGCCAGAATCTGGACTCGCTCATGTAAGATTTGAAGTTCCTTCTGCAGTTCATCGCGGGCTGACAGCAACGATATGATTTCGGATTTACCGTCCAAAATCTTATTTAGATCCTTCATAGCTGTCTATAATCATTAACGTGTTAGTATTAACAAACATGGATTTCAGGGGGGGTGGGGGAGGAAGAAATGTTCCAGTTATATACCATCTAATTATCACGTGACAATTAATTAGCTTTGGATATTTGCGTGGAGTTGAAGGTTTTTAACCACGACCCGTCGTTCTGGAAGCTTTTCAGTAGCTATGATTACGTAAAAAATATAAATAACATAGATTGCCTAGAGATAAGATAGACTTGATGGTAACTGAAACAGCCCATATAACATCTAAACAAGATCCGCTGTTGATGTACGTTGGCTTTGGATTTTCAGAAATTCACAGACTGAAAATGAAACGCGATTATACTCGTCTGCATTGTCATCCGTGAATGGTAGTTTGTTTTTAACATTGAATATCCAGATTTCCATACACAGTCCAACGTGTCATAGATAAATTATATTATTATAAATTTTATAAAAATATGTTGAACCCGGTGGGGATGAACCCACGACCCGTTTATGCTACCATTACTTAGTGTAATGGAACGAGACCCAAATGTGTTTAAAACTATAAAAGTAATTTACGAAAATAATACCGCAATGAAGTGGACCGTGGAAGTAAATACTAAATACAACAAACCATCCAAACACCATCCTGCCTCTGGAACTTGTCGTGGCACACGGCGAGTCTTCTCTCCAAATCTGCTCTTGCCAGAGCAAACTCAGACTCGGTGAGAAGGCCGGCGAGACGAGATGTATCAGCCTAAAATGCCTCCATTGTACACCAGATAAAAATCAAACAAGCAAGTTCATATTCCTAAAGCCTACCTGTTTCATCCTTGGACCGAATTCTGGGAAGTCATTAATATATTGCTTTGATATGTCTGATCAACTTGCCTGTATATAAAATAATAAATCACTGTCAGCCCTGCCTAAAGACATTATGCAACAGTCTAGAGAGGCTGTGCTGTAAACGTTCAAAGACTAACGGCCAAATCGTACTTGACGGCGACCAGATACGTTTCACATTTTTTTTAATTTGTTTTTTTTGTATCAAATATGAATTTAGAAATATCGAATTTATTGTTATATAACGTAATAACGATTAATATACAATGATTATTTATGCTTATTGTATTTTTTCCCCTTTTATATGCAAGCAAGTAATAGATATTTTTTTGGCGTTTGTTATCGCAATATTGCGACCATTTTGCAAATGTCAAGTAAAAGATTTGTAATCGACGCGCTACCGATTGACATTTGATTACTGACACATGACTGACATTCAGTTACCTTTCTTTTAATAAGTATTGGGTTTAAAAAACTTTTTTTATTTACCCTTCCATAAATTCATTCTGCTCTTTACATAAGTCTATTTAATAAGTAATGAAAAAGCTCGTTACATGCTCATTTCTGCAGTTGAAACATATTATGTTATTTAAGTTGTCTATTGACTTCAAAACTATCCTTTACGATACTAAATTATGTTGGCTCTTCAAAAAATGTTTACGTATATGGTGGTATTTAATACATTAAATTAAATCAAACCCTTTATGTTTTGCTTCCTATACAATTTTGGCTATTGTTCTGTAAAACTGTCATGTAGTCAGTCTTGCAATTCAAGAGAAAAAGAGAACCTACTTACCTTATCTCTGAGACCGTCCGCCACCTCGTCTTTATCGGCTTTCTGTTCACGTAACATTTCGACACACTCTACGAGACTCTGGAAGAGTAGACATTAACATTTAAACCTAAATATAGAAGTTTGTATAAGGATAATAAAATATAAAAAGTACCATAGCGAAAGTTAAATCTGTCCTTACCTATTATTTAAAAAGTTCAAAAGCTTGTCGTTAATTTGATATAAAAATTAATATAATATTACAAATGCAAGCCAAACACTAAAGAGCTAATTAACGCAATTATTAATTATTAATTTTGTGAAGTATGAAACATTTTCATCTTTGGAATTTTATATTAATAAACAAAAAATACAAATTTTACAATAAAAATCGACACGGACTTGATCCGGTACCAACCAGTTGAGCTACAGTGTCCTACACGTCATCGTCGATTTTTCAAAAATCGAATTTAATTTATATAGCGCAATAACAAGAGAAAAAATTAAACATAGCAAATTATTAATTATATTTAACTAACTCGCAACTCTTCGGCAAGCTGTGTCTGAAACTTGGTGAGCGAGCGATGGGCGTGTAGCGTAGAGTCTAGCTCAGTCACGAGGTCTTGGTAGCGTCCAGTTAGCTCCGTCACAGCTATATTCGATAAATGATAAATCTATCTATACCGAGTATATAAAGCAGAAGAGTTTGTTTGTTTGAACGCGCTAACCTGAGGAACTACTAGTTCGAATTGAAAAGGTTTGGTTAGAGCATTTATGGAGGAAGACTTAAGCTATAAAACATCATGTTGCAACTAATAGGAGGATATATGTCTATCTTTTAAAAGATGACAAAAGGAGTAAGAAATGAACTTGCGATTACGACGGGTATCGACCGACGTCGCGGGTAACACTTATTCGTTAGAATTTATACAGATGAAGAGGTTACGAGAGCGAAGTCGCTGACATAGTTAGTATAAAATAAAAACGGACTGGAACCAACTATCAACGATTAATTGTTCCGTTGTTTTACAAACAGACGATATACGCTTTAGTTCAATTTATTAAATATCTGTAAAAATTGATATCTTATATGTACCTGCAGTTTCCGCGTTATTATTGACGCCCTCGAGTTGTGTTAGACCACCTTGCAGGTCAGTTCGCATTTGTACCATTTGCTCTCGAAAACTTTGCATCTACAATAACATGTGTAAATGTAAACGGTTCAAAAATAAAAGGACGGGCCTACGTTGATCCAAATGTAGCGATGTATATATATGGACGTTATTAATGGTTTCTAAAGATATATCCGATAAGCAAACTCTAACGACACGTTCCGAACGCACCGATTAAAAAAATATCATGTATGGTAGAAAATTTTACATCTTTTTTCTGGCTTTATTATGAGTTAATGTTAACATTTCCCACTGAAAAAAAATAACTTTTTAATATATAACACATCAGGTCGTGTTTACGTAGGATTTAGCTAATGTTATATGAAAGAGGAACTCCTTACTTGCGTACTGAGACCAGCATCAAAGCCGTGCAATTGCTCCGCGTAGTCTACCGCTAGAGACTGTAGTGTAGCGATACGAACGTCCAAAGATAACGCTATGTCTAACTTGTCCGCTGAAAAAGATATAATAAGACAAATTCATGTATGACTTATAAAGGTTTTAACTAAATATTATCCCAGGTAAGAACCTGGAATGTGTAATTTATGTGATGGAAGGTGAAATACTCTAGCCGTATAAGATCCAAGTACGATGCGCTATCGACTTATTTTCGCTTAGGACATGCAGGAACCTACACACTACAATCGAAACGAAAATTGACACCTTTTCATCTGCAAATCTGGGTTCGTGCCGTTTATTGTCGCCCATTTATTGTCCCAATTTTAGACTAGGTTTAACATGTTTCACATAAATTGAGGCTGCTAGAGAAAAAGTGGCCTAATACAAAAAAACATGATTTTCAATAAGGAGGAAAATAAACATGCGCAAGAAATTTAGGAAATGATGAATAAATTCGTACTATACAAACTCATTTACTAAATTTCTTCTATTTTTGTAAGAATCATGTTAACCATTTTCGGCCACTGTGCTGCTGTGTAGATTAACATTCTTAGATATTTGAAAATTGCAGTTAGGCTACTCTGCCTCTAGCGGCCTTGGTTATATATCATTTTTGGGGCGTTTTAGGCATTGAATTGGTGTGAATTAAGGCCGGTTAATTATCAAGTGTAAAACGAATATTTGGTAGGGAGTTAAGAATTAATTGTTCGTGCTTACCAACGGCCTTGGCTGTATGCAAGGCATTATCAGCAGTCGCGCCCGCCCGAGAGGTCATTGTATTCATTGATTTTATCAACTCTTCCCGCAAACGATTCACAGAGTCCCTGATAAACAAGATGATTGTATCAAACAACAAATGTTGATAAGTTTTAGTAACGTTGTTAGCCAACTACGGCAGGAGTTCATGACTTTCAATAAAACAATGGTTTAAAACACGAAATATATTTTTTTTAAACCTATTATTACCGACCACCCGACGTTTCGGATGCTCTTGAGGAAAACAAAATTGGTTAAAAAACTATTATATATTTGGCGCCTACTAACAGTTTTGGTTTATAAAATATTTATTATAAATTGAAACCATACCAAAAGCGTCCCGTTTAACCATTAACAAATTCGGTTTGAATTTCCGTGAACTCTATACTAAGAAATGATATTTTAATACTGCGCAATAGACGTAAAACATTATGACTATATCTTAGCACTATTTCCCTCCACTTACTCGAGTTCATCATGAGTGACAGCATCCAGTGTGGCTGTGGAGACTCTTGAAGAAGGCTGTTTCATAATGGACATAGATGGACGAGCCGTGGTTGCCATACTAGGTCGGGACAGCATTTCGGACTCCTTGGCGGAGGGGGAAATTGCGACTGACTTGGGTCCTGCCATAGATGGTCTAGCGTTGACCTGGTGTGTAAAGAGTATAAATAAATCATAAATATCTTCTATCAGAGAGTTACTTATAGTTACTTGGTATATTTTAAATAAATCTGTTCAGTTTCAATTATGTTTGCTCATTTGAAAACTTTATTATTTTTAACATGTAAATTGCTCATGAAGCAGACGCCAACGGCAAGCCCTGCCCGAGTCGAAAATTTGTTCAGTTTATTTTCGACTTTGATATTATATGTTTGCTCATGTTTTATTATGATTTAAAGTCTGTATTATGAAATAGTAGCTATGACAGCGACTTCGTTCGCGTAGAATAGTTATTATCGGCATCAAAATTTGTTTTTGCAAACCTCCTCTTCACCTTTATACGTTTAAACTGTTACTCACGACGTTGGTCGCGTCCCATCGTTCTTGCAAGCTAATCTTAAAACCATACCGTAGGTACCGTTTTCACAGCGTACGCATCAGAAATGTCAGAAACCCACAGAGATGAATAATATGCCCATTTTCTCCACCGTCCAATAAATCGTGAAGCCTGAAGCCACGATAAATACTCTAACTGACACAAAAATAATTTTACAATTAGTAGTTCCTACGATTAGCGCGTTCAAACAAACAAACAAACTCTTCATATATTGTTATAGATAAATACCACAGCCTGTGCTTCAGCGGCAACCTGCTCTGTTTGTATTACTTCCATCTGCTGCTCCAAGTCCTCGGGTAATCCGCCCGCCGCCGCCAGTTGGGTAAGTAGCCCAGTCATCCGGGAGATCGCACTTTCAGCTGCCTTTACTCGCGCGTCAATCTATAGCCCAGTTGTGGGAATAAATTAATTGGATGGTATAAGATTTAATTCTATTAATGAAAGAATATCTAATTCTACATACAATAATCAAGATAAAATAATGTTTGATTTTAATCCTGGTGAACCAAAATAATATAGCCTAAAAACACAGCCAGAAGTAGAGTTAATAAATTGGGTAAGGCTTTCACGGTCATGGTTCAGCATGTCATTGTTTTTGAGGCAAAACGTCGAGAACCTCTTCTCGCTCACGTCGGTCGAACAGACCGAAAAAAAAATGATATGCAGAAGTAGAATTGTGCTCGCACGTAAATAAAGTTTTAAATACTGTTGATATCATGATTGACCCAATTTTTGTAAGATCAGATAACAATAGCTCTTATCAACGATATATGATGGATTACGTACGTATTGTAGATTTCAGCGCGTATTATAGTACCAAAACTGCCTTGGTTTTTTAGTGGTTCTCCAGTTTTCGAGCACGAACCATGGGGACATTTAAAATTGTACTTAGTTATTTAGATTTTTTCTAAATGTCTAGTTCCAGCCCGAAGTTTGGAAATTGGAAGCGTGTTCACCTTCGTAGAGTGGAGAGTGCGTTTAAGTGCGGCGTCGTGGATCTAAAGCCGTGGGATATAAGTAGTTTGAACAAATAAATTCTACGAAAATAAACCTGCATAGCCTGCATAGTATCGGACAGAGAGGCACTTCCTTTCGCCAGATCACTTCTAAGCCTCTCATTATCAGGCATGGCTAATTTCATGGGAGCCGCCATATCTTTTAGCTCTTTCACAGCCGCTTCCAGAAGAGCGAACTGCGATTGTGTCACCACTTCAATACTTCCTCGAGTTTGTATATCTAAATTATGTAAGTTTTTTATTAATAGAGAGACAGAAAAGCATGGGATTCACACGATGGGAGGTGACATACGCCAGCTATCTAACATCTAAGCAAGTTGCGTTAACGACCTATTTTGGCTTTGGATGTTTGGAAATCCACAGACTAAAACCAAAACGCGATTAAACTTCACGGCTTTTTCATCTGTGGATAACGGTTTATGACCAGGACGGAATTTCAATATTTCTACCACCCATGTAATATCCAGGTCTTAAAATCTGGAATGATCCCGACCCGTTGCTTATTAGCCACACATTGCTACCACTAGGCCAAGGAACCCGTAAAAAATCTCCTCAAAAGGATACCATTTCTAAAAACCTGTACTTACCAGAGCGTGTTGTTGGTCCCTTTTCGACTGCAACCAAATTATATTATTGTGAGCAATCATCCATTTTTAACGATTCAAGATAAACAATTATACATCTCACCAACAAGGACCTTCTCTTTTCCACGCTTCCCTTCTAAAATAATTTGTTTTTGTTAAATGACGTCAACTAAAATATAAATCAATTTTATGCGATTTTTTACAAACCGGAAACTGAAATTCTCGTCTCGGATGGTTTCTTTTCCTGTAAATTATTACTTTTATTATATATTCTATACCTTGCCGTACCATATTTTAAAAAAAGCAAATATAACCTTTATTGGAGACTTAGGCGTTTCTTTTTCCTTTGCCGCCGCTTTTTCTGCCTTTTCTCTCTCTTTTTGACTTAACTTTTCAGCTCTTTCTTGTTCCTTTTGCGCTTGCTTCTCAGCCTTTTGTCGTTCTTTTTCAGCCATTTCTTCATCTTTTTTAGCAGCTTTTCCTGCTTTTTCTTGTTCTTTTTGGGCTCTTTCTTGTTCTTTTTGAGCATGTTTATCAGCCTTTTCTAGTTCCTTTTGAGCGTTTCTTTGTTCTTTTTGAACTCTTTCTTGGTCCTTTAGAGCTTGTTTGTCAGCCTTTTCTATTTCCTTTTGAGCGTTTCTTTGTTCTTTTTGAACTCTTTCTTGGTCCTTTAGAGCTTGTTTGTCAGCCTTTTCTATTTCCTTTTGAGCTTTTACTTGATCTTTTTGAGCATGTCTCTCGGTCTTTTCTTGTTCTCTTTGAGCTTTTTCTTGTTCCCTTTGAGCCTGTTTTTCGGCTTTCTCTTGATCTTTTTTAGTTTTTTCTTGCTCTTTTTGAGCTTGTTTCCCAGCCTTTTCGTGTTCTTTTTGTGCATATTTTTCAGATTTCTCCCTTTCCTTTGAGGAAGCCCTTTCCTGCTTTTCTCTTTCTCTTGAAGCAGCTCTTTCTTCCTTATCCCTTTCCTTAGAGGCCGCTCTTTCTTCCTTTTCCCTTTCTTTTGAGGCCATTCTTTTCTCTTTTTCCTGTTCTTTTGAAATAGCCCTTTCTTGTTTTTCTCTCTCCTTCGAAGCAGCTCTTTCTTGCTTGTCTCTCTCCTTTGAAATGGCCCTCTCTTGCTTATCTCTCTCTTTCGAAGCGGCCCTTTGTTCTTTTTGTGCTAATTTCTCTGCTCTTTCTTTTTCCTTCAAAGCTTTATCTGTCTTGGGTTCACGTTCCTCTTTTATCTTGCCCATTTTAGGTTTAGGCCTTGGACTTTTGACGGAAGAGGAACTCTCCGATGATTCTTGAACAACTTTTTGCTTCTTAACCTTTTGTCGAGGTGGTGAACCTTCGGCGATTCTGATTTCTACCCGCTGTTCGAGTATACGTTGTTGTCGGGCCAATATATGTAGTACAGCCTGTATTACTTTAAAATTAACAACATTTGCCTGAAAAAGCATTAAAGTGAGCATACTAGCAATGTATTAAATTAAAAAGAGAAATTGCTATTTCTGTAAATTTGTGTTTTTCTTAGGCAGGGGCTGACACCAAGCGTGCCAAGTGAACCTCGCCCCTTTTACGTTACAACCCTACAATATATTATGAAATGATTTCTTACGTCTGGTGGTCCCATAGCCCTATTAATAAGATCTTCGACGGTCACCAGCAACGCTGTGTCACTCATATTAGGCTCGTCATAAGATGGCCTATTAGTTTTAGCCATTGTTTTAATGTTTTGCTTTTCTAGAAATGTTTATAAAACTTTTGTAAGTAAGCTTTAAAAATTTGTTACTTTGATATCCTCTGTCATAATCTTCTAAAATTATAATGGCCAGTTTAAACTTCATCATATTAAAAAAGCAACAAAAAAGTTTACATTTTGTAACAGGAATGAAAATGGCGTAGGTATTACATGAAACAAAAATGCGCTTGAAAAATGAAAGAGCGTTTAAAATAATTAATATTTTATTTATAATAACTTGTCCTATCAACACGTAACATCAAACAGCAAGATAATATTATAATAATTTATAGATTTTTTTCTGTTCGATAATACTGAATATACGGTCAAAGCGAACTATAAAAACGTGGAATGCACGAATCGATCAAAATCACACTAGAAACCAGGCAAATAAATCTGTTCTGTATAAATAAAATGTATAAATAACAACTATGTCGCGCGCAAGACGTCGAGATAGTCTCGGATATATTTACAGGGCGCGAGGAAAAACACGATAATTCTAGAATTTCAAAATTCAACGAGGATATATGGAATTTGGGGACGTTGAATTAGTATGGCTATTGCTAGATGTAATATCGACTCTCGACTTATCGATATTTCGCTTCGTGGGGTGTGCTTAGTCCTCGAGGTTGCGGAAGGCGGCTGACATGTCTTCGAGCAGTTGGTCGAAGTCGGCCTTGATTTTCGCTTCGCCGTCCTTGACTGGGTCCTGAAACGTTAATTATTGTCAAAATCAAAATCAATTCACGTTAGTACACTTGACGTACACTTACGAATGTCAAAAACAGTTAGAAACAAGAAAAAAAACCGACCAAATTTACCTAATGGGGGACTTAAAGACCCCACCAATCAAGAATACGATTTGTAGTATTTTTTTTGTATCCGAGCCTACAAACTTGTGCAGGTCTAATATTCATCGGAGCATGTACCTTGAACTTCATCGAGGAGAGCTGGTAGAGCACGTTGCCCATGGCATCACGGATCACGTTCCAGGTAACCTTGTTGTCTGATTGCGCTGTTGATTCCACGGCGTGTCTCGACATGTCGTAGAAGGTGATGATGTTCTTCAGCATACCCACGGTCTTGTAGAAGGGGCAGAATCTGTCATACGCGGAGTAACTGTAAAAGAATAGAAGGTTAATAACGTTTAAAAATCGAAAAAAATTACCGCTCGGGCAGGACATCCACAGCGTCATCCAATGGTTATAGTAACAGCACGGAACCGACATGTGCAATAACATGGAAAAAATATTAAAGTTTTCAATGAGAAGGTTAATTATTTCATAAAATATATATGTGATACAGCACCGACGATTAATGTGGCACATTTTCCACTAGCTTACGTGTTTTTCTGTATGGCACTGTTGAGGTCTTTCCGTTTAAATTATCTTAATTGCTTAACAGTTATATACAATATCAATGATCGTGTCTAAAGTAGCGCTAATTGCAAATGATGTGCTGTGCATTATAAATAAGCTAGACCTGTTCTGCTGCAAGAAGTCATCTTTGAGTAGCTTGGCGACCTCAAGAGTGATCTTGTCCGTCTCAGCGAGTGACGCCTTACCGACCAGTTGCACGATTTCTGATAGATCCTCTTCTTCCTGCATGATCTCCTTGACCTGTTATGACAAGAATAGAGATGAAGACAAGGGTCGTGTATTTGATTCCAATAAGTATAAACATTTTGAAAGTTTTGTTTGCCATGTTTCAACAATGACGTCATAATTTAGTCTCCCTTTGTATCTGTTTTCGGGAGCAAATCATTTATTGATGACGCTCAAATTAAACATTTACCTTAGTCCTAAGTGGGACGAATTCTGGGTATTGTTTCTCATAGAAGTCGTCCAGCGCACGCATGTACTTACTGCAAGTATATTTATATTTCATTATTCATCACATATATATAATTATCAATATCGGATATTTAATGATTATGGAAGAGAAAAATTATTTATATAACCTCTAAGAAAATAATGAATCTTAATTATAGAAACTTTCAATATCTCACAATTTTTTTCAAAAAGTTACAAACTTCTATACAACTTATATACTTATTTTATTCTATACTTATCGATTTTGATTAATAGTTACACACTGACCTGTATGAGATAAGCCAGTTGATTGAGGGGAAGTGCTTCCTCTGCGCGAGCTTCTTGTCCAAACCCCAGAACACCTGTACAATACTGAGGGTAGCGGCGGTTACGGGATCGGAGAAGTCACCTCCGGGTGGTGATACGGCACCGACAATTGATACGGATCCTGAAAAAAAAGGCGCTGTAGCTCTTGGTTTGACGTTAACTACCAAAAGTTTTACAAATAATGTATAAACCAGCTCGCAGTAATAGTTTTACTATTTAGTTCATATTGCGGGATCCCAACGAATTTTACTAATAAAATATACCCCTATTTTATAAGCTATGTGGACGTATTACAAACTTTTATACAAATGCGAGATGTCATTTATTTTATAGTTTTTAATTGGTTTGTCTCACCTTCCCTGTCTGGGTTACCGAGACATTGGACACGTCCGGCTCTCTCGTAGAAGGAAGCGAGACGTGCACCCAGGTAGGCCGGGTAACCAGAATCGGCAGGCATCTCAGCCAGACGACCCGAAATCTCACGAAGAGCCTCAGCCCAACGTGACGTCGAGTCAGCCATCATGGACACGTTGTAACCCATGTCACGGAAGTACTCGGATAGGGTGATACCTGCAAACATTTTTGTGATATAGTACAAACAAACATGGGGTTATATTAAATAGACTTGATTAATAGTGAATAAAGGAAGCAATAAGGCTAACGCCACATTTTGGTCCTTCGAGTCGGAACTGAATAGGCGACCTATTAATTATAGTAAATATTGGACCAGCAGTATCTCTCATATGTCCTGCATAAATGTGACGTTTTAAAATTATACAAACCCGTGTAAATGGAGGCCTCTCGGGCAGCCACAGGCATGTTGGATGTGTTGGCGACGAGGGCGGTACGCTTCATGATGGATTCTGTCACACCTTCAATCTCCACAGTCAGTTCGGGGAAATCACGCAGTACCTCAGACATTTCGTTACCTATGGTGATTGTGAATTATAAATAATAAGTATGTATACACACTAATCTAACAGATCTCCTAAAACATAAAACCATCCTCTAAGAAAACAAGTACGATAAAAACTGCTTCTCTACTGCCGTATGTTAACAATTTTGATCAGTCAAAAATCTACCATAGTTGAATCATTAAACTTGTCTTCTACTAAAAGTTTGGCACTGAGGTTGAACACTCCTCGAGGTTGCTCCCAAGTATTGGGCTTCAATAAAAAAATTGTTTTATATACTAAAAACCATTTTTAAAAGTTTGCGAAAGAAAAAGATTTAATATAGAAGGAAACTTTTACTGGTATGTTTTTTTTTTTTTGTATTGCGAATGGCGCACTTACTACTACTAGTATATTTTATGAAGTAAAAAATACCTCGCTCTCCACAACCGACGTAGATGATGACGTCAGAGTTGGAGTACTTAGACAGGGCTTGGGAAATTACAGTCTTGCCACAACCGAAGGCTCCGGGAATGGCAGTGGTACCTCCTTGCACACAGCTGCAATAAAAAAAAATTAAACAAGAGAGAACACTGTTTAGATATATGCAAACCCAATTTTCAAAAGAACGCGTGTAAATTGTATAACCCAACTACCCTGCAAGTGTGTAAGATTTTTCTTTGATTATTATTAATAATAAGCAGCAGCTTTAGAGTAAAAAAAGTTGTTGAATTAATGAAATCAGACAAGTTCTTACGGGAAGAGGGAGTCCAAAACTCTTTGTCCAGTTAGCAGAGGGTGGTTGGCGGGAAGCTTTTCGGTCACTGGACGCGGCTGACGTACAGGCCAGACTTGCAACATAGTGTATTGGGCCTTTTCACCATCAAACTCAGTTTCCAGTACAACATCCTTGAAAATAAATAAAAACATTCCATAAACATATATGCCTAATTTCTTTGTCTACATATATTGAACATAAGTATATAAAGGAATACAACGTACAGTGACTTTGTAGTTACCAGCAGGTGCAATGTATGTCACTGTACCCTTAGCGCGTGGGGGAACCAACATCTTGTGTTTCACCAAGGTGTTTTCATGTACAATACCGTACAAGTCTCCACCAGTGATGTGAGATCCAACCTGTAATATTTTTTCTATTAGCATTTTTTTGTTTTAAATTTTATAGTGTCTATAACTTGAGTTAATAAATCGTGGGAACAATATTACTAAGACCTTTATGATAACAAATAAATTACCTTCACATTAAGAGGGTTGAACTCCCAGTCTGACTCACGAGCAAGAGCTGGTACGTTTACACCCTTGGGGATGTAGATAGATTGTGTCAGCTCGTTAATATCCTTGAGAGGACGTTGGATACCATCAAAAATGGACCCCAGAATACCAGGTCCAAGTTCCACAGATAGGGGCTTGCCTGTACGGAGTACTGGGTCACCTACTGTCACACCTGATGTTTCTTCGTATACCTGTACAGTCAACAATTTACATTTAGTTATAAAAACACAGCCCTAGTTGTATATACAAGTAAGATATATGAATGAATGAAGTGGTTAATAATATTTTATAAATGATATATGAAATATTGAAATTATACCTGAATAGTGGCCATGTCACCCTCCAGCCTAATGATCTCTCCGACCAGCTCATTGTACCCAACACGAACTAACTCGTACATAGCCGATCCGGACATTTTCTCCGCCGTAACGACTAGGGTACAAACAAAAATACATATTAACACAAATAGAAAGCAAATTTAGTCTTATTTCCTTAAACATAGGTCACATTTCTGTGTCTGTTTCATTAATCTCATTTATATTTACAGGCACTTTGATCAAACTTTTGTAGCCTGTATGTGACAGGTTAAATTGAATGTTAATATATACAGATTTTTTATATTTTAAAGATATAGGAGTATGTCTTACCGGGGCCAGATACGGCAAATACGAATCCGAATTTGTCCTCATTCTCCTCATTGGCAATTGTCTTCAAATTGCCCTTAGACATTATGGCGTTTTATTGTCTTTAAATATCTGTAAGTACATTGAAATTTTAATTATAAAGATTGATTATATACTTATTTTAAAAATACATAAAGCTATAAAAATTGCAACACACAACACTTAATATTGTAGCAATATTTTATTTCATAGTACTAAGTAACTCAAAATGTAGAATGTATGTTAACACTCAATGATTGACATGTCAGCTGATGTTATTTTTATCAATCAACACTAATACATCCATCAATGTCATGATTGATTTTTTGAGATTTTCCATATTTATTACCCTGTTTTTATGTTACTATTGAATTTATACTTCCTACCACAACGAGTTAAACCAAACATAAACCAATAATCAAAGTAACACTTGCCTCATGCCAATGATTATCTCTCAAAAGATCTAACTCCAGCTTATTATAGCATTATAACTGATAACAAATATTTATAACATTTAATTTAGTAGATTTAATTTATAGATGTATCCTACAGGAATGACAATAGAAAGGTTAGATAGATTGAATAATGACCCAATACACTTTTTAAACATATTTAATTGCCCATTACGTTTAGATTAATGTATATCAAATTCAAATACTACAATTATTTTGCTTATTCTATGTCAATCACTGAAACGTACGAGAATTCAATGGAGTCACATGATATAAGTACTATTTACCAAGCTTGGTTAGATCTAAAAACTAAGTTTTGCTAATTGTAGTAACAAATAGCACAAATTAAACTTAAAATAATGGATTTAAAGACGAAACACGATAGAATTAAAAATATTAGGTTTACAAGGTGTAGCCCAAGTTAGGGCTACCAAAGATCACCGTTCTTACCAAATTAAAACAAAAAGCAACAAATTTTTACACAAGCACTCATAAAATTATAAATTATTTAATTTTAAAAGCTAAATTATAATAAATTCAACTCACGGGACAAGAGAGATGGAAAAGACGACCCGAGAATGGCGGAGGATCACAACTTATCACAAGACCAATGATAAAAATTATGTCAGCTGACCTGAGTCTATGACTTTATGTCTATGGCAATCATTGATTTTGTGGTGCTTAAAGGGTTGCTAGTTTATGACAAAATAAAATACATGATTTTTTTTTGTTTATAGCAACAAAAACGTTTAAAAAGGAAAATAGTCTGTTAACATTTGTGGTAAACGTATTTTTTCCTCTATGGCTTAAACAGAACCTAAGGTTAAAATTTCACAATATTTTTTAGTTGATGATTTGTACACAAGGCACAAGTTTTTGTTCATTTTTCAATTATTCCTGTCTACGGTTGCAAACGTTAGAAATATACAAGAGAACAATTAATTTAAAGTTTACACAAATTTCGGTATCAATATTTAAATGTTGGTTATTGTATATTGTTTATTTTGTTAGGTGTTTTAATCATAATAAGTCACATATTGTCATTCATCGTGGTATTTTATCAAAACAAGCATACTTATACATAACCAGCAGGAAAACCTAAAAGTTTATATGTTATTTTACATTTTTAGGAATAGCCAGACATTGGATATAGTTCAAATAAGCAAGTCTTTGTCTTGGATACTTCGACACGGTGTTCAAAGAGAAGGCTTAGAGATAAGGTAATAAAAACAATAAATATACTGGTAGTTTTAAACAGTATATTGGTAGTCATATTGTATACTATAATTAACATTAATGATATGACTTCAATATATAAGTTATAATTTTTGCCTTTTTTTATCAAGTTGTGGCAAATGGCATACCACGTCTGTACGTGGTATACCATTTCTACTTTAAAATAGTCAAGTAATGGTTTATACTACAAAAAAGTTTTAACATATTCTTTACTTAAGAAGCTCTAATTAACTTAGTACATTTTACTTTCCAGTACACTTTTCTATAATAGTATGTGGATAGTAAAGGTTATTTTTATATTTTATAGTGATGAAGGCTATGTCTCCTTATCAACCCTTTTGAGACATAAAAAATTTAGGAAATACAACTTCAATGATATAAAAAGAGTTGTGGATAGTAATGACAAGCAGAGATTTAAACTTAGGCTAAATCCCAGTACTTCACTCTGGGAAATTAAAGCTAATCAAGGACATTCAATTAAGAGCGTTAAAAATTCTGAATTAATACCAATTATACAGGTACAATAGCGTCTCTGACGCTTTATGTTTACCCTTGACTATTATTGTTTAATGAATGGCTTCTGATTTTTCAGGATAAATATCCCTTAGTTATCCATGGCACTTATTTAAGGAATTGGGATAATATAAAAATACAAGGTTTGAGTCACATGTCCCGCAACCACATCCATTTTGCAAAAGGACTCCCAAATGACCCAAACATCAAAAGTGGTATACGCAGAGATGCACAAGTTCTGATTTATATTAACTTAAAGAAGGCTCTTCAGGGCGGTATAAAATTTTTTGAATCAGAAAATGGTGTTATCTTGACTGAGGGTGATGCAAATGGATTTCTAAAACCTGAGTATTTTTTGAGAGCTGTTAAGTTTGAAAACAATATAATAGGTAAGTTTATAATTTAAACATTTAATAAACTTTGCATACATTTTTATGGGTAATATAATTATAGGTTAATATAAATATTAGGGTATAATTAAATTAAAATAAGTATTGAACTATAATGATTTTAAATAGAAATTTAATTAAGATAATATTTTAACATCACTGTCTCATTGGTTCCATAAAATTTGCTAAACCATTGTGAAATCTTGAGTATTTTCTTAATTAATATTATATTTGACAATGCAGTAGTAATCATTTTTATTTCCATCAGTAGTTATTTATATATGCTATAGTATAACAAATTGCAACTTGCTTTGAGCACTGTAAGTTTAAAATAAACCATACTAACATTATAAAGCTTAGCAGTTTGTTTGAACAAGCGAATCTCAGGAATTAGCAGTTTGAATTGGAAAATTTTGTTTGTACTGGATAGATGTCATTTATCGACAAAAAATACTATTCCATGTGGACTAAGCTACTTCCACATATGATCTGACAGTACAAAGTTAAGCATATGCTATCTACTAATACTCTATTTTTTTCCACCTCAGTAACCAAATAATTCAACGTATTGCCTTATACGCGAGAGGTCCTGGGTTCGAATCCCAGGGGAACAAAAAAAAGGTGTTTGGGTTGGGTAGGGCCCAGAAGTCTGATCGCCTACTTGCCTGTTAAAAAAAACAGACATGTGTTCGCCCCATGTTCCCCACAAGGGGGAAACAGGACTTTACTTTTTTTAATTCTCTATTCTTTGAATTTAAAGGTAATCAACTATACCCATAAAAATGTCAGTACCTCATCCTAATACAACTTCCAAAGTAAGGCAAGATGGGCCTAGTAAGCAGATAAATAGCAGTTCTGCTGATTTGAAGATAAATGTTTCTGGTATGTATTGATATGTTTAATAATTACACCTTCGTATTTCATACCTGCTAAGCTTACATTTCTCTCACTGCACAAATAAATTTTTGGAAACTTTATTCATGGAGTAACTCTAGGAGAATTTTTTTTTCAGGATTCCCACCATACACAAGAATTGATGACCTGAAAAATACATTTTCAAGTTATGGGCAAGTAAATGTGAAGATTTATAAGAGGCAAGCGGTTATCACTTTTGCAAATAAAGATGATGTGGAGCATGCTCTTTCACAATCCAATAAGTTGACTTTGTATGGCTCGTTTCTGACTTTAAAACCACACTCAACCGCACCAGCCCATGAAAAGGCAAAACCACATTTTGCAAGAAGTAAACATGAACGTAAGTATCTCTGGATTTTAGAGAATATTGTTATTATTATGTGCTTTTTTTATATAATCACAGACAAGTTTACTTCAGTATTTTTTTTTTATGTGCCTTGGACCCAAAGGAAACATTATTTTTTAGAACTCTAGTATCTTGTCTTGTCTAATAACTTGCAAGAGTTCCATACAACATTAAATATGAGGCCGCTAGAGACAGAGTAGTCCAACTGAAATTTCATGAGTAATTTATATTTTCGTTGTCTAAAAATGTTGATCTACAAGAGCACAGTGACCAAAAATTGTCAACATAATTCTTAAAAAATTAATTCCTTTTACTTCTAAGGCCTCTAGCCGCCTCATATTATCTATAGTTCCCGATATCCGAAGCCGTCGGCTTGTACTTGAAATTATATATCGCGTTTGTCCTAGCAAGCAAAGATGTTATTAGTCCTTTCTAGATAAATACGTGCGTTATTTAGAAAACTAGTAAGTTCCAAGAAAAAAGCACCATTTCCAATAAGTAAATAAAAAACCCAAAACACATATTCAAGTCAATCATATATTTAAAAGGAAAGATCTAGATCTACATTTATATCATTCAAAATTGGAATGTTTGTTCTACATTTTCATAAAACCTGTTCTTTTTGCAGATAAAATACTTGAGCCGCAGAAAATAGATTTATCCGGGGACGTCTATAAACAGTTGGATAACATCTTGGACGTGATTAGATTGACCCAACAGGAAGTTATAAATATATCTATGCTTTACCTTGATCTAGAAACTGCGTTACAAACATATTGGCCTGGTAAGTGAACTTACAACATACTTGTACCATTAAAACAATAAATTGGCTAGACGGCCCATCTATATACAACAAAATATGTTGAAGTCAAAAAGTCTTAAAAATGTTAATGGTAGTAATCCTGTAGGATTCGTAAAATAAAGGTCTGACATTTTTCTAATCAATATATAATTTTTCTGGAACATGTCGGACTTGGTCTGGAAATCTTCATATTAAATGGGGTGGTAGGAATATCGAAACTTATGTCTGGGTCACGAAACGCGTTCATATATAAAAATGCCGTGAAGTTAAATCGCGTCTCGGTGCCAGTCTGGATTTCCACAACCACAGCGCATTATGTTTCTGTTTATGGTATATAGCTAGGGTGTTTCGCCTACCATCAAGTGAAGGACAGACAATCATTAGGTTTGTCTATCCTCCTCTATCATATAAAAACTATTATGTAAGTAATTATGTAATTTTTTACTGTAAACAGGTTGTCGCGCAGTTCCTTTCGGATCAATCACAACTGGACTGGGGATCAAAGGTAGCGATGCGGACTGCTTTGTCGAAATTCCAAATGCTATTGGCAGTCCGGACTTTACATACGTCTTTAAGGCTAAGAGAATCCTACAACAATATCCGGATATATTTACTGATATCTTAACAATACCAAATGCTAATACTCCAATTGTCAAGTTTTTCCATACGCCCACAGGAACAAACTGCGACCTTTCATTTAAGACTTTGCTTGGTACGCGAAATAGTCAGCTAATTGCATTTCTGTTGCATGCCGATCCAAGACTAATACCCACCGCAGTTCTAATTAAATATTGGGCAAAGGTTCATGACTTATCTGGCACAGGTAAAATGAGCAACTATGCATTGACAATGCTTTTCATATTTTATCTACAACAAGTTTCCATACTACCATCAGTTGAATGGCTTCAGAAGAATAGCTCGGAGTGGATTGTCGATCATTGGAACACCGGCTTCCTGAACGAGCATTCGTTGTTACCGAAAACGGAGAACAGTATGACCATTGCAGAAATTTTAGGTGGATTTTTCAAATATTATTCGGACTTCAACTTTGACACTCTCACTATTTGCCCTTTGACTGGAAGCACCATTCCAAAAAAACTTTTCCAAGATGTCGAGTCCCTTCCCGATTTGCTGAACCGGTACAAAGAGAATGTCAAAAATGACATAGTAAAACCTATGAACCTTAAAACTGCAGTGTGCATCCAAGATCCCTTTGAGTTGTGTCACAATGTTGGGTGCATGATAGGGAACAAGCTCTCTAAAGACATTAAAGCGTATTTGAAATTCGCTGCAGCAGCTTTCAAAGATGAAGAATCTCCTCAAGACTTTCTTAGGACCATTTTATTAAAAGCACCCCCTGTACCAAGTAAGGAAAATATGTTGTACAGATCTACAATATATTCCAAAGAGTTGAATGAAATTGTCGACGAAGAGTGGAAAAACATAGTACAAAGTGTCATTTCATTAATATTCGAAGATATTTGCCACGCCAAACTTGAAAAGGTCGTAAGTGACGCGACGCAGCCCACGAAGAAAGGAGGGGATAAAAAAGCACCAATTAAGAAAGATGAGGAGCGTTACTTTTTTACCTTGACTAAGGCAGTGTGGAAAAGAAAAAGATTCACTAAACTTTATGCCCATATGAGGGGAACGTTTTTAGAAAAACAAATAAAAATTACCCATGAAATAATCAATATTGATAAAGAGATGCATAATCTAAGGATACAACTAGCAATAATTCCCACCAAGATCAAATCTGTGTCCGTCAATATCAAGTACATTGATGGTAACATGACGGACTTCCAGGAGTTTGGAAAAATGTTCAACAGCATGTTTAAGCAGTGGTTTCTTATATTAATGCGTCCATACTTGCCAAAAAATAATACAAATGTAGCAAAAGATGACAGTCAAGAACACAACATTATAAACAAGGACAGTAAGAAGACCCATTTGGGCAATTCAGAGAATGACTTGTTACTTGCTGTACAAAATTGTTCATTAAGTGAGGGTCCTGACTAACATGATATAGTGCTGTTTATATTAATAATCTTAAAGAATAAGAAATGGGAGTACTATGTAAAAGTGAGAGTTTATAAGTTATCTTTTAACTAATAAAAAAATTCTTATTTTTACAGTAACATAAGTGTAATTAATGACATACTGCAAAACGGATAAAAAAATAAATAAAAAAGATTTTTAGATGGATACTTATTTGTATACATACTATATTAAGTGACTTACAAATTATATTAAGCATTAGCTATTATTATTTTCTTATTATCGAAACAACTTGCGATTTGGATTAATAAAGGAACATATTTTGTTATTCCCCTTTTTTTAAATGAGTACTTAATCTTAAAAATCTGTAAGAGGTTTTTGGTTGTGGTTCGTTTGATTAAAAAGCCGCAGAAAATATAGTTTGAAGACCAGGAGCATGCAGCAGATACATTACGCTTCCGTTTTACTAGTTAATTTACAGACAAGTAGGCAATGACTTTTGTAGAGCTTAACCTGAAATAAACAATACAGTTTCCCTAGGATTGCACCCGAGGTTTTGCTATAAGAACGCAATACTATGCAACACATTTTACCATTAAGCTACAGGTGGGCGATTATGAGATATACTAACGAAATCGTTCGATTATGAAAATGTCTCGTGATATCTCGATTATAGCGGTTAGTAGTTACTAATATGTACTGGACGATTATGAGATATACTAAGGAAATCATTCGAATGAAATGTTAGTAGTTACTAATACTAGTAAGAAGAGGTGGGTCGATTATGAGATATACTAACGAATTCATTCGATTATGAAATGTTAGTAGTTACTAATTCTACGTTCGGACAATGCACTATGGCTTCTCGCTCACTAACGAATTCATTCGATTATGAAATGTTAGTAGTTACTAATTCTACGTTCGGACAATGCACTATGGCTTCTCGCTCGCTTTGACGTTTAGTACCTATAATGTCGGATGTGACCCTTTTATTATTGTTTATTAGTTATTACGAGCGTATTCTATTGGAAGAAGGTATAATAACAATAAAACTAGAGGAATATTTAATATTTGCTGATAGTTTTCCGCTTTTTATTGGTTTTGTATTTAGGTTTCCCAAATAAGTTACCAATTTCTTCTTAGATGGTCGCGGCAATTTCAGAAATAAATCAGTCTGAAATAAAACGGTTAATGATTAACAATATTTCTTGGATTAAATACAAAGATTCATAGGTTATTTAAATATTTGTTTAGAATTAAAAAAAATACAAAATTGTCAAGTAATACATGAAGGAAAAGAACATTTATTTATTAAAAGGTTATTTAAAAATAAAAGTCATTTTTACACTTTTGGACAGAATTAAAAAAGGTCGGTCAACTTACTTTTAAGTATGATAAATCCACTAAAAGATGAAAAGCGCCACGTCTCTCAATATCGTAGTAAACAAAACAAACTACACCAGTATATAAAAGTATCTATTATTGTTTAAACAACTAAAGTCAAGGAGTGCACGATTAGTATTACTAATTACAATAATAACATCATTCGATTGTGAAAACAAATTAGTTACTAATGCCATAATCGATTACCAACATTAGTAATACAAAATAAATCGATTATGCCGATCATTCATAATCGCCCACCTCTGCACTAAGCCACATATGACAACCCATGTCATAAATCTTTATTGTTTCATAGAACAAAAATAAGTACCATACAAAAAACCTGATAAACATTGTTATTCATGGGTAATCTGTAGCAGCGTGAAATGCAACAGTTCGCCTTATCTGTAGAACTAACTAAACCTAAGAATAAAGATGGTTCCGCCCACACAGTAAATTAAAACTACAGTCTATATTTAAACATCAACGTAAATAGTAGTTTTTACTTTAAAACCATACATTATATACACATAATATAATTTAGTTAACACCTTGAGTAAGGTCTCTACCTCGACTACGATACAATTTTACGGACCAATAGCCTGATTACCAGATCGTGTTTTGAAAAAAAAAAATAGTTTAGCTTTAGGATGTTAAAATCCCCGGGCCCCGGCCTTTCAAGAAAAAAGAACATTCATAACATAATTATATTATATTATTATCTAGATATCTAGTACATTACATTGTAATTTTGGTTTCGTAAACACACTATTACACTGTGAGTCATTTATATTTTTAACTGAACTTTACGTTTTTGCGAATTTGGACAACAATTACGTTAGAAACATGAGTGGTAAGAAATTTAAAAAATAAGTATGGTTTAAATAAAACACTTTAACGGTTTAAAACGCGATATATTAGTTAAACTTATTTGAAAATGATTTTTAACTTCGGCCCGACGTTTCGTTAAAGTGTTTTATTTAAATGTGTACTACTCGCGTAAACTATAGACAGTATATAAGTATGGTTTCTCGTCTCATAAGCTTTGAAATATTTGTGCAATAACTACTTATTTAAGTTTATGCCTACTGCATACCTACGTAATAAATATAAAAATATATTGTAAATAGTGCACTATCTCGGGCACAGTAGGTATTTATTGGTTTTACACTAAATTATACATAGTCGATGTAAAACTTTTTCACAATAGGTACCTAAAGTTTTTGGTTAACCTAAGTTTTCCAGGTACTTTGGAAGTACATACAAAGATTAATTATTATTAAGAGTATTATTTTTGGTTACAATTTGCTTGGTTGATTTATCTATTTTATCATTACGACGTCTGCTGTCACCTACAGCTTCATTTCAAGAGATGCATTGAAATAAAACTTATAATTTTATTCAACAGATATTTTGGACACGCGCAATCTTAGTTTCGTGGGAGATTTTAATACGCAAATGAAGGAAATATTACAATATATAATATTGCCAGCAGAAAACCCAATGTTACAAACTGTGTATAAAGATTTGGAGACGTTTTTCCAAGGCATTTGGAGAGGTAAATTCTTGAAATAAGAAAACAAAACCTTATTAAAATATTAAACAAAAACATATTATATTGAATGAATTAAAATCTTAAAAGGACCTTCTTAGACTATTCTTATTGTATTCAGTCTTACAATTTTTGAGGTAACTCTTTTGGCTATACTTCTATAATTATTATCTGCTTTACTTTTTATCAGCAGTCATTTATATAACAAAATATACCTACTTATTTTAGCAGAATATAAACTAAATTCAGTCTTTATAAATATTAAACAACAAAACAGCTTTAAAGTTTAGACCTACAGCAATGTAAGTTACATTATCAAAATTTTAAAACAAAATAATCAATCCTATACTCATTTTCATCAACTTAAGGTTTTGATCAACAACCATATTTTAAATAGTTTTTAATCAATGAAAACAATCATTACTTTAACTACAAAAATAAAAAGCAATTATTGCACTCATAATTAGGTACACGATTTGTCTATCTATCTATTGAAGCGTTTTCCTCAGCCTCTTGCCTTTGTTTAATGTTTTTCGAGTGTATGTATGTGTGTGTGTCTGTTTATTTGTGGCCTCCTGCACAAACAGCTTGATGGATTTGGATGTATGCTGTATCGTTAGATTCGTCTCGATCACGGGATTGTTATAGGATTATTGTATCCCCAAAATATGGAAAAATAATTAAATAAAAAAAAATATTATTATAAAAAACAAAAACCCGACTGCATACTAAAAAGAATAAAACAAGCCCCACAAAAATGGTTTAGTCAAATACTTATACCTATTTAACAAACTCAATAAAGGTATACAGTTTATAAATCTTGGTGAAAAGTATTGCAAGCGGGGACCTGAGCAAAAGCTAAGCGACCCTCTGTTGGTCCCCACTGTCGCTGTGGAGTGCGGGATGCGGGTCGCGAAATCGAAAGAACGAATGGCGGACCGTGGCAACCTTAACGGGAGGGGTGGGGGAACGGTTAATATACTTGGTTCGTCGGTTGATCGTGGTGTGCAAGCATAGAGCGTGTCTCGCGGGCGGCCCAAATTATTTTTATTTATTTAATTTTTAAAACCCGGTCTACAAACGAAACCTTCCCCGGATGCCCTTTAAACTAGGACAAAGCCGGGGAAACCCGGACGGATGGCAACCCTATTAACATACACAACATGCTTTCACAGCGCTCGCAACGGAAACCTGGAATCCATGTCTTTTTCACATTTCCCACTGTGTCACCGATCCTATTAGTCGCAGCAAGCAATGTTTTATAGCCTAAAGCTTCCCTCGATGAATGCTCTAATCTACAAGAAATATAACGTTTCAATTCGAACCAGTAGTTCCTGAGATTAGCGCGTTCCAACAAACAAACAAACTTTCAGCTTTGTAATATTAGTATAGATAATCACTTCATAAATAAGTTTTCTTTTTTCCAATAATTAATATAATGGTTAAAAAAGATTATTGTTAGATGGTTATCCTTGAGCATGAGAAGCTTCTAAATTTATCATTATTTCCAAGACATGAACGATATCAAATATATCATACGTATATACGGAGGGACAGACATAGACTAGGTATGTTATGGTGGCTATTCATGTATTATAGGTTTTCTTGTACAAAATACTTATTTTCTGGTTTAGTAATAACGGTCTTCTTACAGGTTGCCAGATAGAAGTGTTTGGATCGATAATGATTGGTCTAGCGATGAAGAACAGTGATATAGACTGTTTGGTCAATCTGCCACCAAACTTACGCAGAGAACCTATAATTCTACTTCGGGAGACTGAAAAAGCTCTCAGTCAAAATACAAAGTTTCAAATTGTGAACATTAATACCAAAAGCAAAAAACCTCTTATTGTTGTCCTGCACAAACATACACAAATATCATGTGATATTACTTTTTCTGATCGCAATTGTATAAAAATATGCGATTTAATGATATATTTAATTTCAAGAGACGATCGCATTCGACCTCTAATGCTTACAATTAAGTATTGGTCAAAAATTTATGATTTAACTGGCAATAAGAAAATGAAGAATTTCTGTTTGCAACTACTAATTGTGTTTTACCTACAACAGAAAGAAATTCTTCCATCCATTAAATCTTTACAACAGAATATTGAGGAAGAAATCACGGGCCTGTGGAACACGGCTTTTGCTCGCCCTATCAGTTATTCTAATGATGACACGGAGACTGTGTACACATTGTTAGGCGGTTTCTTTCAATATTACAGCAATTTCGACTTTAAAAATAATATTATATCATTATACTTGGGGCATTTAATCCATAGAACAGACTTTGAAAAGCGACACTACAATGAATACAATTTGTATTACAATAATATTCGCCAGCATCTCTGTAAACCACTGTGTACAAATTCATTTGTGTGTGTGCAAGATCCTTTTAACCATGACAGAAATAGTGCTATCACAATACTTCCACACGTAGCTATGGAGATAGTTAATACTTTCAATGTTGCTGCTTCGATTTACAAAAATGAAAATGAACAGGATTTCCTAAAAAAACTTCTAAACGGGCCTGACCTCAACATTGCAAGAAGTATGCAGACGTTTACGATGGAGAAAATGTGTAAGTACAGCTCAAGTTCGGTAAAGTAAAGACGGAAAAATAAAAATTCGAAAAGGTGCCTATAAGGTCTTTTTCATTATACCTAAATTACAGATTATTCATACATTACATTTTGTACAGAATATATGATATCATTAACATTAATGAACAAAGGTTTCAAACTTTACTTTTCGTTTTCGTTACGGAATTTTCGGATTCGGTCTCTACGCTCAAGGCTCGCGATAGAAGCTATGCAATTGCTTAACAAAAAATTAATACAGTAATTAAACTGGTTAGGGGACTGTGGATGCAAGTCTGTCCATCGACGCCAATTTTTCAATTTAATTAAACTGGGTTTTCGTATTCATATAGTCAATTGGAACCCGATCACTGTCTGTATGCTAGTACGCTGTCATCAGGCTGTATCTTAACAACCACGATAGCAAGACAGTTAAAGATTTCAAATGCTGCAAAAAAAAATGAGTATTCACGAGGGCTTTCATAATTGAAACCCATCTTTTGCTTGATATCAATGGCCACAGGTAGGCGATCTAAAATGTATTCACTACAAATAGGTGGTCCTATTCAATGGTATGGAGACGATCGTGTGCGAGTCCAGCGCTTTTCTTATTTATTTAGTCGGGTTTACAACAGCTTGAGAATTTAACTTCTATGAAAAATTACAATATACAGAGCTATGGACCTTGGTAGGATTTTATTTTGGATTTCAAATCATTTAAATTTAGTGATCAGTGAGCATTGCAACTCTGCAAGCAATTAACGTGAAACCAAATCTTATTTATGACTTCACCATAGATTATACACTTACATTGAGAGACGTCACTCCACTTTCCCGTCCACTATTTTCCACCATAAAATCTTACAAATAGCAGATTCGTATTCTACTAAACACATATATAGTTGCTGTAGTTAATGATAGAGCGGGACCAACGAGATTTTTCATAATCAGGTCGAGACTTGTGCAGGCCTGTGTGAAATCCCGTTTCCCCCTCATGGGGCGAATACATTTCTGTGTCTGTTTTACTGATCCGTTATTTAACAGGCAAGTCGTTGATCAGTCTTCTGTGCCCTGCCTAATCGAAACAATTGATTGTTTCCCTGGGATTCGAACCCAGGAGCTTAACCTACCTAAACCTTAACATATTGCCTAGTATTGCGCTTAACGCAATACTAGGCAATATGTTTAACGCTACATTACATGACCTATTACTTATAATAATCCATAGATTTAAGTAAAAGCGCAGTCATTTATTTTTACGGCAAAAATCCCAAACAAATATACACGTAAGTTGAAAAAGAATAAACATTTAATTATTACTCCACAATATACTGAACAATTAGCTCGTTATTGCTATGCTGTTTTTTTAACAAAATACATAGGTAGTTGTTGTATAATAGAATGTTGTAATAAAAAATATCGAAGCATAATGAGTACTGCTTTTTATAAGTTACACCTTAAATTATCTGTGAATAAGAATACGTCGCTGGCACATCACTAGTGTCATTTGGCCTCTGTCGTAAACATAATATTATGTAGTTTAAGACGTATTAAGTGAATTAGTAGTAGTGAATTCTATTGTTAATATCTCAATCAAATAATCATCATCAATGAGTTTTAATCTACGGAAATGAAATTTTTATACCGTAACATCAATGGTGTAACTATTAGTAAACAAACATAAAATATCTTGCAATAAAGATTTGATGGTTTTGTCGAAATATTTATTTGCCGAAAAATATTTCTAGCAATGCATAGTAAGTTAATTTTAGATCTATAACAAGCTTTGCCGGTTAAACATAATTTGAACACATAACCAAATAACTCCTGAATGTTTATTTACTTTCTTTTCAGGTATTTTAAACACAAGTCATCTGACATTTACAGGCAATTTTGATACACAGGCTAAAGCAATATTGGCCTACATACGGATGACTCAACAAGAAATAGAAAAGTTACAATTACTGTTTAATGATTTGCAAGACATATTTGGAAATACTTGGAAAGGTACAATTTACCACCAGTTTTGCACATACTTGTATTTTTTAAAGTAGTTATATGTTGTATATTACTTGATAGACAGCATTATATTATGTGTCCTTAAACTTTGTATGATGTCCAATGAAAGAAATGGGATATATGTATATTCTATTTGCTTTTTGTATACATTTGTAAGCAATAAAATAATGTTAGTTATATTACTTATACAACAATTTCTTGTTCTAGGTTCTACTTTGGAAGTTTTTGGGTCTATTGTGACAGGTCTTGCCCTTCGAAGCAGTGATGTAGACTGTTTAGTTAATCTACCACCCTGGCTTGATATGCCAAGAGCCTCTTTTGTGATTGAAGCACGCAAGATTCTTCGTAGGAATAACAGGTTCCAAAAGATATTCGCTATAACCAAGGCTAAAGTTCCAATTGTACAATTTGAGTATGCACCGACAAGGACACGTTGTGATGTTAGTTTCTCTACCCGTGCAGCTGTGGTTAACTCTAAACTTTTAGAATACCTTATATTTTGTGATGAACGGATTTTACCTTTTGCAATTCTGGTTAAATATTGGTCTAAAATTCAACATTTCACAGGCACAAATCTGATGTCAAGCTACAGCTTGATACTGCTTGTTTTATTCTATTTGCAACAGAAACATATTTTACCCCCCATAATGGCGATCCAGCACAATATTCAAGAACATATAGTGGACAATTGGAACACAGCATTTGAAAAGACCATCACTAAATCAAACAACAATGAGAGTTTATATACATTGTTTGGTGGATTCTTTAAATATTATGAAGGGTTGAATTTCAAAAAGCATGTGATATCATTATACACTGGTGAATTAATAGATAGGGAAAAGTTTAGTACGCTAGAAAGTATACCAGAAGAATTCTATTTGTATAAAAAAAACGTTAGTAAAAATATTAGTCAACCTTTACGTTTAGATACTACAATGTGTATACAGGATCCATTTAATCATGGTCGAAATTGTGCTGTTGGCATCTATTTCAAATTAGCACAAAAAATTATTGGCCTCTTTGACAGAGCCTCTGTTATCTATGAAACAGAACCAGAGTCTAGTTTTTTACGGACTCTGCTTTACTGTGAGGAAATACCTCGGCAAAACATACCGCAAAGGGCAAATTTAACTTGGAACAAATCTGCTAAAAATCATGGCATTCAAAAGAATCACAAACACCAGTTGCAGAATAGGCAATTTAAACAAAGGTGTAAACAGTTAAACCAAAATACAAACAAATACCATAGAAATCAATGGACTTAGGCAGTCATTTATTACTCTAGAATATTATAAAGTTTTATAAAATTCATAACTTTATTCTATAAATTTAATATAGTAGTAATGACAAAAGAAATGACAGGTCCAAATATTTATTTCATAACACCACACAGTACATTGAAGATTCTATAGCATAAAACCATTTCTTAATTCTTAAAAATCAATATTTTACACTGTAGGTCTGTGGGACAATAGAATGATCTGATACATATTTGCATATATAAAACTGAATGCCTTAACCATATTCGGATAAACAAAGCAGGTATTGCTTTTTTACACAACCTTCATGCAGTGGTGTTATGCTTTACTAACCAAAATGCATCTATCACTTGACCTCCAAAGTCCACTGAAACCTAAAAAAGAGACCAATCTTAATACCGAATACTTCATAACTTTTAAAAAATACATATAATTTGCTTTGGCACTTATTCCCTGTTTAATGACGCAGCAGCTTCATCGCATGTGACATAGGATCGAGACCTGTGTCATAAAAAACATATAATATGATACCTGTTCAAAATTGATGTGAGATGTATTGTATGCCTTGAATCTTGTGTAGCCATAATCCTGTGAACGGAAAGCTGACCAGCTGGCAGCGTTGTCTATGGAATAGGACAATTAATATGTATTATTATTTCCTTGTGCCTTAAACTAGTGTTGTCTATTTACTACTTGTATGTCTTATTTCATACTACCAAGGATAATCATACTAATTTCAACATTTAAACTGCGTGAAGAGTATTTTTTAAGAAGCTTACTGAGCCCTAATTAAAAACTCACGTCGAAAATGGTCTCTTCCTTCTTGACATCCAGCGGAACCAGTAACCAAGTGCACAGTGGCGCTGATTTACAAACAAGAAAATAGGATAAGCTTAGTACTCTGTAAAAATGATTGTAGACATTCGGTTGTACCTTACAATGCTCTGGCAGTTGAACTATCGTCTAAATTACTTCTTTAAAATATTTTTTTAGTTATTTTTGTCTCTCATGCGTGTTAACAAAAAATGTTAAACAAATAACGACTTATCAAGTGTCAATGTAGTTGTTTCCAAAAGTTGTTATTTTATTTTATTTCCAGATTGCAGATTTAGTTATAATTACTAATTTTAATAACAATAATGCATGGAATAGAATAAACAACAGGTGATTGCAACTAATTTTTATTCGAGTCACTTAAATAAGTCGAGTACAATCTTTGGATAAAAAGACATCACTTCGTTTATAAAAACACTCCATAATTACTGGTACCAAATGTATGTTATTCCTAAGAATTATATTAAAATTGATATGCTTGGTGTTTGTCTTTGACAATCCAGACAGAGTCTATGACCTGACCCTTAAGATCAACATCCACCTAAAACAAAAAAAAAACATTTATTAGAACGATAAACTTTCAACTCACCTATTAGTAACGATCAATGTGTTTCTGTTAGACAACGATTGTAACTTGGCGTGTCGACGTGTGTTGCCTACAATCAGTAGAAATACAATTCGACTATAAAAAAAACATTGCTGTTGACACTATTTATGATTGATTATGATGATGATGATAATAGAGTTTAGTATAACTCACTATAATTATTTACGAATGCCAAACGAACATTCAAGGAATAAACATTAAAGAATTTTTACTCTCAGTTATGTTCGGATAAAAGACGCTGCGCAAACGCAGACAAGACAACGCGGATGTAGGGGTTTGTTAACTGTTAACCATCTAATTTGCTTACTAATTGCGTTGTTAACTCTATACATATTTAGGTTAGGCTCTTATATTAACGCATTTAAAATACGAGCTGTCAACGTTGTAATATTGATACTTTTTAATAGTGTTTTTGATAATAAAATACTAAATATTATATTTTTGGTTTTACTCTCGACATGTCTATCGTCAGCCTACCTACCTTCCAATGATGGGCAAAAGCAAATTTCCTACTATAACTTTCTACTGTTCCTTCCCTTCTACTGTCGATCCCTTATCAGTTAAATAAAAACCTAGGGCTATTCTCATAATAGGTTTTACCCTAGCTGGTGTGTAAATAATTTGTGAAGGATTCTTTAGATTACCTGTTCGAAGTAGATGTGTGTATCGTTAAACGCCTTGAACCGCGTGTACCCGTAGTCACTCGACCGAAAGGCGGACCATACCGGAGGACGAGCTGTGTGGCATATATATATTTCATATATACATATTACATATTTCAATTGTACAAAATCATAGCTCATTCATAACTCTACAAACACAGAAATTTCAAAATTGAATATATATAGATGATTTATATAAACCACAGACGTCTTCCATGAGGTTAAATGCGAGGGGTCCCAGGTTCGAATCACGATATATCATATAATGTTACGTTCTGGAACATAAACTTGATCTCCATTCAAGTTGCGCCTGTACATTTGCTAGTGAATTTTATTTCCAGAGTCTATTGCAGGAATTTAACTTAGGCGACATACGTTTAAACCCATCTGTATCTTCCTGGCATCCCGCAGAACCAGTTATTATGTGGACTGGTGCTCTGAAAAGAGAAAAGAAAAGTTAAAGTTTTGACTATAGCGTTTCTGTCTACATTTTTATTTAAACCACTGCGATGCAACAAAACCATGGATTAAGCATTAGCGTAAAATAAATAACATCTACAAGAAAAGAGATAATTAATAATTTATTTTATTTACCCAATAATAAGTCTTGATTTTCTTATTCGCACTTCACTTGACAATAACAATGTTTAAAATCCACAATTCGATTTTAACAATATCATTTCAACATTTTTTATTAATGTATAACAATATAATAACAGTATTGGATAGTACATACTTTGTATGTAAATGACAAGTTAACATGATCTTCTATATTTGCTTTGGCCATTCTATCTAATATTTGATGTTTTTAACTATTGACCCGTGAGGTAATAAAACAATAATTCAAGTATGTGGCAAGTAATGGTAATAAACACGTCGCCGAATCTTTTAAGATTTAACAATCTAGACTTTTAAATAACACACTTTAACGGCTTAAAACACGATATATATTAGTTAAACTTATTTGAAAACTATTTTCACTATTTAACGTTGTAAACCGTTAAAGGGTTTTATTTAAATGTGTAATACTCGCGTAAACTATACCTAAGCAGTATTTAAACTGGACTTTAAATAGAGTAATAGATATAACAATAAAAGAACTTACCCTGGATTAACGTATGGTTGTTCAAGGGATCCATTGTGCACCTTCAAATCGTATAGTGGCCAAGTGCGTTCATAGGAATGCTCGTGCGCCCAAATCACCACATCGACGCCGAAATCCTTCAATAGAGGCTCGAGACCTGGGCAAAGGTTTACTATGTAAAATAAATATTGAAGAACGCTGCACTTGATTTAAAAACAAGTTCCTACCTTTGGAATAGGCTATATACCATTAATTTACGACGCTAATAAAATGTATTGCGTGCATTACACAGTACGCACAATTTTGAATATAATAGAAGTATTCCTCTTTTTTTCAAAGAAGTCAACCAGTCAAATCAACCATTTACGTATTTAAAGTACGCAATTCACCTTAAGACTAATGTACTCACTCATACTAATTGGCTCACTTAGAATATTATTAGATGTGTAGGTAGATATTGTTTAACATGCACAAACCCTTTTTGTCAAAAAAAGTTTGAGACACATTTTTCCACAATGTTTGAAATTTTACATTCACTAAGTATAATGTAAAAATGTAACAAATTATTATTGATTTTTACAGTAGGGCGAAAACTGTCATTAAGTGCCCTCCGGATGATGAGTCAGGAACAGTTTAAGCAAAATGCTCATACTAAATATAAGTTTATTAAGATCGTGGTAGAAGCAGATCACTCACTAAACGCCCCGAACAGAGGTAGCCCTTTTCTTGTGTACTCAACACTGCAGTCAATATCGTCCGAGTTGCTGCAATACATCGGTCTGTGTCCATACAGTATCACCCAGGGCCGAAGCGCTCTGAAACGTCCTACCTATTGTATCTCAGCTATACCCCCTAAAATCCCCATTTCCAAGACCTAAAGTAGTAGCGTTTAGACCCTTGAAAGATTTTATTCGAAAGACAAACCTCAAAAACCTTATAATAGTTTGATATACCGTTTGCAAAGAGTTGCAGAGAGGAAAGAGGGCAAGGATGGATATTGGTAAAGTTTTTTAAATTTGTTAAGCGATTATTAGTGGATTTAAAATTATTTTGAATATTTAATTGACGTCTCTAGAGACGTCATAAAACTTTTCTGGAAGAAAGAAGAAGAAAAAGCAAAGTGTTTGTAGTAACTCAACTCACCGTAGCCAAAAACGGGCAGTCCAACGCGGTTGGGCAGGAAGTTATTCCAACAATCGTCTCCTATGTTACTACAGACCATTGGCCTGTGCCCGTATATAATGACCCAGGGACGTTTGGCTCTGCGGACCAGTTCCGAGAATAACGCGGGAACGAATAAGGGTTTATATCGATTAGATTAAGTAAGTAATTAGATTTGTAAGTTAATAAAATTTTACACCACCACCGCACCAAACAAAATAAAGAGTTGATGAGGTTTAATTTTTTTTTAAACTGTTTTTTATCACACAATTCTGTTTTCGACTATCTCCGATTATTAATTTTTGACACACAGATAAAGTAACAAACTATGGCACACAAAAATGTATCGCTTATTCGACGAGTAAAATTTTCAAGCTTCCAAACGCCAGAATTCGCCCATATTGTATCAAACTATGAATAAAAGAATTTGAAGGCAATTCTGAAAAACATTTCGAGCGCCGATAACTTGCAAATTAAGTAAAATTTGTATCAATGCTACCTGCATTTGAAAATGTTTGAGAATTACCTTGAAATGTAACGCCAAAACGGAACAAGTTAGGAGTCATTGAATTTGTTTCTGTGTCTGTATCGAAATATTTATATGTTGTGTTACGTTTAGACGCTATTCCAAATCTCCCGAACTCACCTAGACCGAAGAAAGGTAGGCCCGCACGGTTTGGCAAGTAGTTATTGAAGCAGACATCGCGTGTGCTACTGCAGTACATAGGTCTGTGTCCGTAAATTATAATCCAGGGCCGCGCGGACCTACCAACATCTTCTATTAGTAAACACAACTGTAGAAAACAATGTGCAAAAAGGTTTTAACCCTTATTTTGGTAGATAAAACAATAAAATTCATTCGTCAATTACATGAAGGTTAAGTTAAAAAATACTTGTTTTTTAATTTACCAAAAAAAGGATTATAAAACTCCATTGTAACAATTTTAATTAGTGTTTGTTATTGACAATTGTCAAGAAGAAGAATAACTAATATGTCGCGTTTTAAACCGTTAAAGTGTTTTATTTAAATGTATATTACTCGCGTAAACTATAGACAGTGTTTAAATGTCAAAGAGTTCAAAAATACTTTAAAATAAGAAAAAATGTTGCTTAAGAACTACCAGGCTATTTTATTGACTGTCTTTTATGCACACGTAAATAAGTGTTAGATTAGATATCACGAAGCTTCTAACTCCCTGTTTATAAATTAAAAATCAATTTTAGATTGAAAAAAAAGGACACCGGCGCGACTTAAACCGGCTTTCAAAGCATTTCGCTCTGTTGAACCAATTGAGCTACCGTCATCTTCGAATTCTATTCAACTTCTATTGATACATACGCCTTTATAAAAAATCGATTTTTAATTTATATAATGTGCAATATGTGAAAGTATTATAACTATAAAGAAACTTCTTTCTTTAAATTTAAAGATCTTTTGCACTTAACACCATGCTTTTGATTGGGTAACTATTTGATGAAGTTATATACCTTATAAGCTACCAGAATGTCCCAGGCAAGTAAATAAGTAAAGTGTAACAACCTGTTCTCCGGTCTATTTGCTTCACTAAGATCCCGTTGCAGCCATTCGAATTGTTCTGAGAGCATCTTGAGACCGAACTCTAGGAAGTAGTAATACTCAGTCGATATTGAGACAAAGTGTACAGGACCAATGTCAAATGAATAGAACATGCTTTCTGCATGCTGATAGTCAGGCATAGAGAAACGGTTCCGATAGTTGCTGAAGTTGCTGTAAAGAACAAGATAATGATGATAATCATAATATTAATATAAAAAGGTTGACTAACAAACCTTAAACGAAGAATATATTTTATTTAAAATGTTTCGAGTATGTTGCTACTCTGATAATAAAGAATGCACGACATTCCGTACATGTGTTTTTACAATTAATTCATTGGATATTTTGTATATGTTTAGAATGTATCTCTGTAATATTTCTTGCATCGGTTGCTAAGGCAAGGTCTTATTCACTAAAAGATACTAATTTATTTATTTTCCAGTCAAAATTATCTGCTGATTATCTTACCCATTTCCCCATTTTCTCCCTACAGAGGATTTTGGGTTCGTAGTGATATATTGTTATAAAGAGTCATTTGTGAGAACGGATGAAAACCATTTTAGAACTTCTAAAAAAATATAATTTCAACAAGAAAATGCCTATTTTAAAGATTTCCAAGCTGAAACTTATATTTTGGAAATAAGTTTTACCAATAAACAACATTAAGAATTTACTGTATAGGTACTACTTTTTCATTGATTTCAAATTCAATATAGAGTAATAAATGATAAAGTGACCATGTTCTGCCCCCTCCTAATCTTCTTTTGCGCGGACTTCTCTTTAGCAGTATAAAATAACTTACTAAGCTGCCTCGTGGTTCCCAGGGCAGGTCATGTACGGCACTGAAGCTGCGAGCGGCTGGATTTGTCTCATGAATTCATCTCCAACCAGAGCATTATCGGTGTCCATATCGTATGCGAAATCTCCTACATGCAGTATGACATCAAAGTGACCTCTCTGCGCCTCATCTTGCAAGTAGGATAATGACTGTAACACAAACAATAATGTAATATTACATTTTGGATTTGAATAGTGGTATCGTTTAGACTATAAACTTTTTATAGCTGCTTCCTGAAATAGAAAACGATAGGGGCATAGAATCTCGACCCTGCTCCAGCGCGGGTTGGAAATAGTAGTGCAGTGGGGTGATGACACCTTCTACTTCTGTTGGTAATAGAAATCGTCTTAGAAAATTTTCGAGTCCTGAGGTCAAATTCCGCAGAACCGAAGATGAATTCGAAACGATCTGGGACCAAGTGCACTAACTACTAGATCCGTTGGTCAGTAGGCAGTAGTACCATTTAGGGTAAAACTTGAACTACCCCTATTAATATTTAAGTGTCCACTTTTGTTACACACTGAATCAAAAATCCAATTTTGATTTTCATAGCATCTATGAATACGTATGCAAGAAGTAAAAATGTTTGTAAAAATATATAATTATTATTATTTAAGTCATTATACCTCAGACAATCATAATCTTTCTTATTTAAAAAACATATATAATTTATCATACTACATATATCAAACACAATGTTAAAACAAGGGATCTCTATAGTTAATAGTAGGTTTCAAATCCTTTAAATTAATATAAATCTATATCGCGCTATGACAACAAACTATTAATGAATAATCTTACATGTGCATTCTTATTGCCCATATCTCCATAGATAGCTGCACGGACAACCCAGTTCTCTCCTTCGGGTGGAGTTTTGAAAGTAAACAGTTCTGACCAGCCATAGACTGATCCTGCATGGTACTCTGTAATTTAGGATATTTTGTGAATAAGCTCTTAACACACTTCTACTGTACATCTATGTTAAATAAATTAATTTAGGCGTGATATTATTCAAATAAAATTTACTCTTCAACATAACGGTCTAGGCAGAAATATTGGCAGGCAAAGTGGTTATTAAATATCTGGACATACATAAGATCCATTTCTTTAAACCCAGAACTGCTATATAAGGCTATGTGTTTTGCCAATATATTATCTTTCTATTGGAAATAGTTTCGAAGGGGTAATAACTTTATTACCATATTTAGTATTAAACTTCAGATTAGGTAGCAAAACTCTATGTATCCACATTTGTCTTTTCAGTGCACCACCATCTGTGAATTTGTGGCGGCTGCCCTGTGCTTCGAGGTTCATCGCGCCTTCTCCATATTGTACCCTTGACTCATGGGTGTCATTAAAAGTAGTCCATGTAACAACTATTTCATTTGTTTTAGCTGGAAAATATATTAAATGGGTAGTAAAGAATCATCCTATTTTATATCAATAATAATAATATGTTGATAAATCTGCTAATCTATCCAAAACAACTCTACATTATCTGTTTATTTTGTTTGTCCTCTTTGTACTGATTAATTATCATAGTTAACTAAACTGAATTTATAACAAAGGTCAACAGACTTAAGTATTAATTATTATTCAGTATTAGGTATAAATTAATTAATTTCAAAATATTCTGATTTACAATTCTTATTTTGTAATTTTTAATATTAAAAAATAGTAAATAAAATTGATTGAAAATATGTAAATAAGTCTTAGAATATTATAATCATAATTGTTAGCTCCCTAGAACTACTACTTTCCTTAATATAACTTTTTAGAATCAATTTTATATGCATTACAAGACTAAAAATCCTTTAATATCTAATACTACTAGTAATAATTATTAATACCAATTAATTATGTTTACGTTAATATAATAAGATACGGGGTAATTTAATACTATGAAGAAATAGATTAAAAAATAACTTACATCCAAAAGCAATGTGAATTTGTTCTGGCTGACAATATTGGCAGTCATATCCAGGGTTTGCAGGAAATTGGATTTTGGCTGCTGATAAACTGAACAAGACGCAAAATATAAAGAACTTCATTGTTTTGTTGAATAAGCACACGACTGCCTCCCACTATCGCATGTTCTATTGTGAACAATGATTATTTATTATGAGTAACAATGCCAGTAATTATAATTTAAAGAATTTTTACACTCTTCTATCGGAGGACTATTAATCGCAAGTTATACTTCGCTAGTTACAATGTAAAACCTAAACCGTTTAGTCTTTAGAATTCTCTTGAAAACTATTGTTGTTTATCAATTCAGCGATCAGCTGTTGATAATAATTAATAGATTTGCGCACCCTTAATGGCACAGACTACACATGTGTTTCATGTAAGCACAGATTTGAAATTTATCTTAAGAAAATTTTACTGTTTAAAATTGAGATTGCAAGGGTGTAAGGGGAAATCCCTAGCACCATTTTAATATAAAATCGAAATGGTTAGTATTTTATGGATCAGACTGATATTAATAACCAATTTTATACAATGGCAGTGTTAGTTCGTAAACAAATTAATTTATGAGAAAGAAACGTGGTTTTCTGTTGCATCTGAAATTATGAATGTCAAAGTACCAATTAAATAACGTTGTTTATTACCTACCTATGTTATTCATTTTTATTGTATGGATAAAGTGCTACTCTAGTAAGACACGGTATGCGGTATGCGATATGATATTATAACCAATCATAAACCCTTAAACTGATACAATACAGATTTCAAGGCGTTAATTTTTAAGAAGCTTGCAATGTGTTAAATAATATATTTCAAATGTCCTCATGATAAACAGTAAAACAAATCCCTCAAGTTGTCAATTGATCGATACTCTTCATTTCTGGATTTTAGGCTACTATTTTGAGCTAACGCAAAAAAATACCCTTTCAAATGATAAAGCATTTATAAGCAAGGTACTAATCGGGCCTTATCGCGGAAAATGTCCGATTCTCTCAGTACATAATACAACTGTTTACACTTTTTTATCAGGTATTGTTGCCCATATTAAGTTATGTACCTTTTCAAATGCCTGTAATTTTTATGAGTAATGCGTATTGAAATAATAAAACAACATTATTTAATTAAAAACATTAAACGGCGATAGCCACTTACATAATTGGATAGAAGTACACATAGAATTAACTTAAAAATAAGTATCATCAATTACATTAGGACAAATTTAAAAATCAGACAATTCTCCAGTTACCAGTGATCTGCGAAAAGATCACATTGGGTCTAACTGAGGAGAGCGTTGAGCGAGGTTAAAATTCGTGGTATCGGCGAAAACGCGCGACAGAGGTGCGACCTCTCGGGACGTCAAAGAGATCGTGTCTTCTAGCGCGGCCATAGTTGTTCGGTACAAAATCACAGAAGGCTTCCCTCAAATAAGTATCATCGTTTGGTTTCGAAACAACTTACAAGCTACAACTAATTGCCCCGAGATCTGCGACTTTCAAGAGAATTAAAGCCAACTTCCTAATAAAAACAAGGTCGACGTAGGGGTAAAAACCGTATTGGTGTTTGTAAAGAAACCGCAGAAGGCTTTTGATCTTCTCAAGCATGAGTATATATTTTCCCTCGTGAGGGTTCCACACGGACGAACTCGATTCCATTTACTCGGCTATACAAGGCATATCGCATGCCTATTGCGAAAGCGCGAACATTGCGCAGGACAAATCCAAGGCGTCGAAATGATTCCTTGGACAGTTCGCATGATCGTGAAAGGTCAATTTGCTATCAAATGTAACCCTAAATCATTAACAAGGGATTTCCTTGCTACGACGAATGAATCGTGGATGAATCGCAAAACTTGAATTGGATAAATTAAAAATAAGCTTATTATCGATGCTCATCATGGCATAAATCATTGAATACAAGGCAGTCGTCAACGATTTAACTTCTGCAAAAATTTTTAAATCGTCAGCATACAAAAGACACCTTTTCGGCAAAACTGATGGAAGATCATCACCATGATAAAAACAACAAAGGACCTAAATTGATCCTTGACTAACCCGGATCGCGTGAAATAGGGCTTAGAATCATAAGACCCAAGTCTGACAAATTGCTGGCGATCACGAAGGTAATCTGCAAAAAATTTTATTAGAGTTGTGCTAAAACCTATAGCGCTGAGCTTACTGAGAAGTATATCGTTGTCCACACGATCAAATGCCTTTTGTAAATCGAAATACAGCACGTCGACCTGAAGACCATGATCTAACCACGAGATAAATTCCACAAGTGTCAAAAGGTTTGTCTCTACTGACTTTTTCCTTCTAAAACCGTGTTGTTCATCACAAAAACTTGTTAACCTGGGCGTATTTTATGTAAAATACTTTCGAATAGTTTAGCTGGTAAATTATGTCTTCTAATATATTTTATTAATAGTCTAATCAGACTCCTAGATCTCTGAGAAAATGAATCATCTTTTAGTGTGACGTGTGCTTGGTAGCATTTTTATTTTCAATTCCTAATAGTTTATAACTTATGTATATGTTTTTGGAAGAACTCTAGGACCAATGAGGCGGTGAGACACGTATGTAAATTTTATTTGCCTGTCTCGTATCATCTCTTCTCTTCTACTGTTTACAACTGATGCAAAGTAGTATAATATAACTGTAAAAAAAGGTCTTCTGGTATAAAAGGCTTACAAAAATATTAAACTTAATACTTTCAGTGGTGTACGAATGTGACAAAAAATAAATATCTATTCCAAATATAGCTTAGATGACCAACAACTTACTTGCATATATAAAATAGGCAGACACCATTGTACTGACTTCAGATGTCGTTTCCATATTTTTAGGAACTTTAAGGGCGATCAGAATGCTCCCGAACAACGATATGAGTATTAAAACAACTGAGTATAGCCAAGCAGTCAGTAACCATGGCAGTAGGAACTTAGGTTTTTTCTGTAATATAAAAAAGGGAATACTGAAATAAATTGATCAAATTCAATGTTTAAACTTACATCCCCATTCGTGTATCACTCAATGGAGACGATCTTTGCATTGTAAAAAATGCGAGATATTCGGAGCTCGGATACCGGGAAAGCATTATTAATTAATACGGTTGAAAATCTAGAGTTAGAGTAAGCGAGTAGTCTATCAAGCTCGAGTAAGAACGCCATTACACGAAGGTATTTTTTTATATGAAATTGTGAAAATCTTACTTGAAATGTGCCATATGTCATGAGGCAGGCCATAATAAATTTGATAACGGCAGCTACAGCAACCACCATGTGGGTTATCCTTCGGAATTCACTATCTGGCCGAGGGAGCATAGTAGCAGTTCCATACAGTAGAGTAGTGCATGTTGATGCGATCTGCAATTTTTAATAGCTTTTATTTCTATCTCTCGTGAAGAGTATGGCTGTTTTATAGTAACTACAATAGGTAAGTATATAAAGCCGAAGAGTTTGTTTGAACGCGCTAATTTCAGAAGCTGGATCGAATTAAAGATTATTTTTGTGTTCCGAGGCGTACGCTGCAAAAACGGTTCAAGATACCAAAAAAATATGTATGAAAGAATGATTTTTCTTTAAGTGGTCTTAAAAATTCTGCGACGCTATATGTCTATTTTTTAACTTTAACTTGCAAGAACGACGGGAAGGGACGCGACCGACGTCGTGGGTAATTTAAGTTTATAAAGATGAAGCGGTTTGCAGAAACGAATTTGGATGCCCAAAATAATATATAAAATCTCGTCTTCCGGACTTCACTTTATGATAGGTACTACACACATAACCCCATTAGGATCAGTCGCTAGTTACTCATCAAGTGTGCTGCAGCAGAAAACTGGTCTTTTGTTTGCACCACTTTTTAAGTCAAGAGTATCACTCAATTATTTAATTGATAATAGGTAATAGTTGATATTCGAAAAGAAATACTTCAGTAACTAACCAAACTTAATATAGCTACGATTTTGGCACCAACACTCAAACTAATACAGCAGCAACACTTTGACACGGGTAGACACATGTTTCAGACAACAGTAGTAAAATTGAATAAAAATTAAACTCCGAATCGATATGAGATCATACATAACAACATACAAGTTACAACTTTCAATCGTAATTGATAAATAACTGCAAGCCATCAATGATAACATCTTATTATCGAAGTAGAGCTGATAAAATTACACGACTGCCGTTGAGTAACCTCCATTTCAATTTGTATGCCATAATGTCAATTGCCCCCTAGACGAATTAAATTATTATCAATACGAGCATACAAAAGATTAATTAAAAAATCAGGTAATTCTAGTAAAGCCTTCTTTTTCTTGAAATATTTTTTTTCCTTAAAATTAGATTAAAGTATATGGGGAGTAAATGTCGAGATTTCTATGCCACAATTCTTAAGACGGATTTCCCTGGGTCATCTAGACTTAATTGGTACCTTACATTTCAACGAACTCTCAAAGAATTGTTTATTAAATTATATATTCGTTGCCGGCTTAAAGATATTAGGCATTATAGCAGAAATATTATGAAAATGATTATCAGTACTAGTCTTACAGCCATACTACAGCGACGTGTAGTGATGATAACGTGAAAAATATTGAGATATGGGAGTGCCCATGATCAAGAAGTGCTGTTTTTGTGCCACACTACACACTGGCACTCTCATCATAGCCTATCTGTATATGGTATGTTAACTTTTGATTTACACAGAATGCTTTATACATTTAAGATGTAAATCAGTAATCTATAAGTGTAAAATACTCAATATCCGTAGCTTTACGGAGTATTTTAATAAAAGTATAAAATACAGATACAACGAAACAGACACAAAAATGTTTCCGCCAGAAACTTCATATAGGGGGAAAAGATTTACATTTTTATGTCAATTAATTCTACACAAATTTAAATTAATACATGCTCATGTAGGATTACAATGTCAAAGTTAATATTTTGTTTTATTTATTTTTATTATGAAATGAACGAAAACCAGTTTCTTGTTCACATTTGTGAAGTCTCGTAGGTACGTCATTGCTTACGTTTTATATTATAAATAGCAGATGACGAGTGTATGGAATGGAATATAGAAAGTTATTTTACGTTTTCCCGTATTCTTTTTGTAGTATTATTACAATAATAATGTAATTTTTTCTAATCGTTAAGATTCAGTAAATGTGTACCCTAACAATACTAACAGTATCATACAATATAACGCGATCACCTTGAAAACGATTGCGTCTTTCATGATAACAGAGAATGTCGGCCACTAAGCAAAACAATGTAGAAATTACTACGGTAAGCGCGGGAAATTTCAAATTCTAACGCAAAACTATTATTTTTACAAAACATAGTTAACATACACGATACGAATAAGGAGAGCAGTACAACAATAAAAAGTAAAAAAAGAGTAAGAAATTTGTTTAGCTGAATTAGTGGGCCAATCTTAGAAGGTTTAAGATTTAGTCTTACAAGAGTTCCATACGTTGAATATTGTCTGTAGATTACGCAAGTAGTATCCATTTAAAGTTAATTTTGAAAAACCCTTTTTATGGCCTACAACGCTAAACATATTATTACGTAAATTAATTATAAATTATGACGCACATGATACAATAATGAAGCTCAAAATCTACATTAAATAGAAGAATTATTTACGACAAGAGCGGGACCTGAACCGCCGCTCCGATCTATTAAGCTATCGAGTTACAGACATCATCATCTAATTTCTTTAACCTATTCGTGAAACTCGCGCCAATTTCACCTTACGTTTTGATAATAATTATAATGTCTTACTTCTAGGTATTAGTCCCACTATTCATGATATAACATAACGAGATTCGATTTTAAGGTATGGGCCCTGCTTGAATTAACCGGGTACTGTCTGCTGGTGACGCTGGCTCCAATCGGGCAAGACGGCAAGGTTTCAGCCCATCGCTATGTATTGTACGTTGCTGCGGCCATAGTCAGTGGTATACATCTACTTTGTTCCCTATTGCTCCTTGTAGCTGCTTATAAGGTAAATACCTGATTTAATACAAGGCACACACAAGTTAAGCCTTTTTAGATTAATGATAAGAAATAAAGTCGTCACTTGAAATGAAACACAAAAAAGATTTCAAAACACAAAAAAATAAGATTAAATAAAGTTATGACGCAGTTACCAATTATAAAATGCATCAATTTTAATTTATATTAAAGGTCTTATGAGCTTTCACATGTGAAAAATTAGAGTCATGAATATTAAAACCTTAGGTATATGTATAGGTACATTATACCTACTTATCTAAAAATACATATCTTTCAGAAACTAGCATCACTGACGCTGCCCTGGACTATAGTGACTGGAATATTGACAGCGCTGTTTTTCGTGATGTGCCTTACGGGTATAAGTTTGATCCTGCAGGACTCTGGGAAAACCTTAGAAATAGAAATCGTGGTTATAGCTGTGCATCTTACTAGAGCTTGTACGTAAACTTTTTACTAACGTTTTTCTTCGTACTTCTTTCATAATTTTCTTAAAATGTACTGAATGAGGATGAGAGGGTTCATAAAACTGATCTGTTTATTTTACAATGCAATTGATTGGAAGAGATAGCTTTAAGTCTCTATTTTTCACATATAACATATTTATCTATCACATCTATTTTGTTTTTATTACTTTGTTTTATTATTGTCTTTTGTGAGACACTGTTTGTATTATAAAAGAAGTGTTAAGTAAAATGGTTAGTTTAAGGTTTAAAATGATTTCTATGTATTTATTTTCAGGTATTTCTGTTTATTGTATTGTCGTGGTACATAGTCGACATAAAGAGATTATGTACGAAAAAGACGAAGCTCGATTTCAAGGTTCAGCAAGAATGTATTATCCAGTGAAGACTTCTGATTATCCTGTGGTATTTTAAGTTATTCCATCAGGCTTGTTAATTTGCGCCTGATGTAGTATTTTTTTTTGTTAACATAACGCAGCGACTCTATCTGAAGAGTTTCTTCTGCTATGTACTAGATTTTAAGATACCTACATTTAAGTAGTAAACTGTGTGAAGATTGCGTAGTAAAAGTAATCAAATAATAGGTATATAGTATATAATATAATGTATGATTGTTTCAAGTTATAAAAAAAAATTAATAGACTTATATAACTGTTAAATAAATTTCTTGCAAGAAAATGAAATATGATATCTTTATAGAAACCTTTAATACAATTCTACTCTATGATACAATTTTAAATAGTTGACATCACATTACCGGGCCAAAAATATGTATTACAAAAAATAGTTGACAGAAGTGATCAAGATATGTCAATGCCATTTTTGATACAGACTGTTATATACATTACCGTTACTGTTTCCAGATACACAATAGATAACCACAATGACTTATGCAACTATCAGTAAATATAGAAGGCCAAAATTAAAAGGTTAAAAATATTTTTTTATAAAAAATTTTAACCTGAAACTTTACTAATAATATCTGCTTATTAATAATAATGCTGCTTTAAACATACGCATTATGTAAAATATAAAAGATTTGTGCTTTATGACCTACTGTTGTTCGTGTACGATTTTGGCCAGTCACGAAAGAAACGTAAAATATCATGCCTTAGCTTAGTTGATAACAATTTGATATTTTATAGTCTGTGTCAGTGGTCTCTGTTTATAGAGAAACGACATAATTTCATTTACTTCTCGATAGTTAACAAAATTTTAATAAATTGAAAGTTCCTGAATCGAAAAATATATCGGAGCCCTAAATAAGTGAAAATAATTTGTCATAGTGCTTTTATTATTGTTTTTCTGACTGATAACTAATTTCCTAATTGGATCACCACTTACAGATTAAATATTTAATAATATTAGTGGTAAGTACTTAGTAAATAACTGATATACTATAATTGTTGAAAACTGAAGAATTATCCAATAATTCTCTAGTAAAAATTTTTCTTCATTATTTTTCAATTGTCTATTCAACAAAATGCCTTATTTGTAGACTGGAGTAGTCTAATATCAGTCTATTTGTATAGAAATCAACGATTACAATAGAATTTCCAGAACCAACACAATACTATCTTTCCTACATAATTTAAACAACAATCATACAAACATTTTAAGATTTTTGTAAAATACTATCATGTAACACTGTTTCAGACATTTATTAGAAGATAGAGGAGGATTTACTGATATAAAACTGGTTTGTTTACTTGGCATTCACGTCTTATCTACTAATTACCTTAAGTATTTATAGCAATACAGCCACAGTTTAATTGTTGTTTAAATTAGAAAAAAAACCTCGTACATGTAAGAAAATACAAACATGAGATTTTCCTCTGTTTTATTTTCTCTTAGCTAAGCTTTAAATAGATTGAGTAGTATAAGAAAATTGCCTAGAGACCTATATATAATGTTAACTGAGATAACTTGGCCTTGACCATATTCATCTTCATAGATATTGGTCCAAGCTCAAAAATATAATTTTATTTACTTTTGTTATCAGTGATCTAATAACACATATTTGATAGAAGGTGTTTCAGCTAAACACATTGAAACAAGAATTATGTGCAAGTATTGAAAATATTATCATCTTAAAAGAAATTAAACAAATATTTGATAATACATATTTGTGGCTATATTTAAGATAGGCTTTTTCAAGGCTAGTGTGTAGATTTTATCTTATTCAAGCATATTATTTTTCAATTCGATTTTTTATGTTCCGCATCAGACACTCTAAAAGTAAAAAAATTACACATTTAAAGTAAAAAAATTAACATAGTGAGATGGCTCAACAACTATACCTAAAGAAAATAAATTGTGTAAGGCTTTCACGGCCATTGTTTACAAGAAGAGGTCTCTCTCACATCAGCCGAACAGCCAGAAAGACAATGATATGCTATACTTAAAGAGTCCGTAGCTGTCTTTGATTCACACTTTTGTTATTTATATTATATGGGTACATAAAACTATATGTTGGCTTATTTTCTGGAGCAATTGTTTCACTTCTAATTCTCTTTTAATTTATTTGGTGTTTAGTACCACTTGCTACAGAATAATTAAAGAAAAATAGAATGTATTTGGTTTAATTTAATTTAAAATGTATTCTATGGTTACAGCCCTGACCTTGAGTATTAGATTTATATCACATTCTGTTTAAAATCAGTCAATTAGAAGTATTGTGATTGTTAAAGTTTATGACTTGCACCAAACACCCATAATCCGTTACGAAAAACCAGTATAAGAATAGTACAGCAATCAATAAGTAGTCTATCTGGTTGTCTTAATTGTCTGCAACATGAGAGAGACACACGTCTCGAAAGTTCCATCTGCTTTATCGAATTGCGCAAAAATTATTAACTAAAATAGCAACAATATTTTTCGCAATTAAACAACACTATGTAACTATGTTGACTAATTTCATATTGTATTTTTAGTTATTATTGTGTGTTGTATGTCAGAAATATTGAATTTGTATGGGAGACCTTTAACAAATCAATTTGATTATGCATACTTAGTAAAAATACCAGTCAGTCTTTTAAAAGGCCAATATTGATAAAGAGCGAAAGACGGGCAAACAGTACGGAAGTATTGTTTTCCCGTCTATAGACTACAGTTTGGTGAGAGGCAGATACACAACAATAAATACCGATTCATTGATATTGTAGCTTATAATATTGGTTTCATACGTTGTTTCCTCGTGTATTTCTGTCTAAATACTTTGTAATGCGTCACGGTATCTCCAATGACGCAACTACTTGGGGATAATGGTGATATAGCAGTGATATTATTTCACATTTCAGTTCTAGTGGTAGAGAAATGGCGGTACCACACATCACGTCTTTCTGTTGGTGCATGGGACTCGAAGCTGGTTCAAGGTTGATAGGATTTATACATTTAGTAAGTAGCGTTCATAATTAGATTGTTCCAATCATAGAATCATGGTGTCATTATAATTGTTTCAATAAGAACCGGCAGATATTGTGTACAAATATATTCATCAAAAAATAAGTCAAAGTTCGTTACGGCTGATGCATTGTCGGTAAAATAATTTTAAATTCTTACTCGAATAATTATTACAGAAATTTACATAAGTTGTGGAATTCTTGTAATGTGAATATTTTACTTAGTGTGCCTGCCTTTTTTTATTTTTTGTGTCTCGTTAAAATATTTTACGACATATAACACTGCGAAATAAATCTTTTCGGTTTATTTTTTTTTATTTTTATGTATTTTTTTATAAAAATATTTGAGTTTATATAAATTAAAAAATATATAGATACTTTAAATGCTACCTGTAATTTACGCGAGTAGTGCACATTTAAATAATACACTTTGACGGACTTTGATATAGAAACGTTCAAGATAATAAATTATTTTAACTACGGCCGATTTTATTTCTTATATAGTTATGCGCAATTATCGAGCTTAATAACTATTTCAGATAATATCATTCCTTCTGATGGTCGTCTGTTCGATTTACGCGGAGAATTTCCGCGCGTACGTCGGCACAGTGGAAGACGCCGGCGACCGGATCTACTCCACTTGGTACGCGATCACCTGCGCAGTGGCAGTTCTTAGCGTCGTGCACGTGCTGCTGGCGTTGACTTTATTATTCGCCGTCTATAAAGTGAGTTTAACGGGATTCTGCTAGACAGGCATTAACGCCTGCTAATATATCAAATCTTTACCCAATACCGTGCCTTTAAGTTTAGTACCTACTTCACTAAGTACTTCCATAGTTACTGCGTCGCACGCGTCCCGTCGCTGCTTGCGAGTTAATCTTAAAAGATAGACATATAAAATAAATATATAAAAATAAATTAGAATGTTCTAAAAAATAGTACATGTTTGTAGAACACTTAAAGACATTCTTTCATACATTAACTTTCTACTTTTCCATCCTCGATTAATGGTCCAAAAAACGTAAAAATAATAATCCATTAGTCCCTGAGATGTTTGCGTTGAACTCGATCTAAGTTGCACAAAACAGTGGTACAAAACCTTAAACGCGGAGGTCGGGTTTTCTTTTGTTCTAAATACTGTCTGTAGTTTACGCGATGTATATTACTTGAACTTGAAAATTTTCTCTTCTACGGTCCGGCTTCGGGGAGACTCCCCGTGACCATGGCTGCTGCAAAGCATTCAAAACGTCGGGCCGGAGTTAAAATAAATTTCAAACAAGTTTAACTAACATATATCGCGTTTTAAACCGTTAAAGTGTGTTATTTAGATTTCTGTGGTTCTGTTTAGTTCATTTGTTATTGATTCCAGCGCAATACAACAGCACTACGGGTGTGGGTTTGGCTGATGTGTGCGCTGTTCACTGCGTCCTTTGTGTACGTGATCGTTTCGATGACCTTCGGCTTCTCTGTTTCCGGCTCGGACATCTTCATTGCATTCTTGGAGGGCGCCCTCTTCTTCGGTGAGTTTAAGGGCTTTACCAGCTCTTTAAAGGATCAAGTCAAGGGTACTGTCCAGTTTTTGTTTAATAGATACATATATACAATTTCAAAGTAAGATTTTGTGAAATCAATAAAACTAAAAATCGATTTTATATTGTGCGATAATCTTTTTAATCGTTTTTTGTTATGGTAGAAAAATTGACCAATTAGATCCAACGGAAAGAAAGCAAAGACATGGTAATGTAAAATTGCTTATAATTGTGATTTTCTTTATATATTTTTTATTGATATTTAACACCCATAGAGGAATTCCAAAATTCTAAAGGTCCGAATTGATTGTACCTTATTTCTTACAGGTTTGATAGCGTACTGCATCCTCTGTGTCAACAGCTACTATTTAATGCTGAAGAGCTCTGAAGATATGGAGGGACCACACAAGACAGACTACTAGATCTACAGGTTCCTATTGAGCTTGGAAACCTTTAGAATGTGCTAGAATTGTTGAAGTACGCTTAGTAGGTACAAATCGAATTTGTATATGCTTTCAGTGTTGCCATAAATATGAAAATGTATGCGTAGCATTTATTGTTTATATGCACATGTGTGTTAACACATTTTTATTTTTATTTAAGCCTAAATTGGGGATACATTTTATTGCTTGCTATTAGAGATGAGCCGAGTACTCGGTCGATACTCGTTACTCTGCGTACTCGACGGGTTTTTTGATACTCGTACTCGGCCGAATATCTCAGTTACTTGATACCGAGTATACGTTGTTTAAGAAAAGCGATCTATTTAGGTAGACATAATTTAAACAACAGTGTTAATCCAAAAGTATTTATTAGTAATTTAGGAATAGGTACTTATGAAAATCTTAATTAATAAAATCAAAGATATGCTAATGTAATGAGACAAAAAATACGAGAAGATGAGAACGGGCCGACGTCTTAACCGGCGCGAACCTGTTTGTACTTGTTTACGCGCGCAAAATGGGAATTTCATTGAACCGAGTTACTCGGCCGAGTACTCGGCTGAACAAAAATTGAGCCGAGTAAAACTCGTTACTCGGCAAAAGTGTCATTTTCGGCGCATCTCTACTAGCTATGTAACAGTCTTATAGTACTTATTATTAGGCCATAAAAGTTGATTCCTATATAATTCAAACGTAGTTCTAGTTTAGATTTTAAACCTCAGAATTACATGCGTCAAATACTTTTATGAATTTGTCCTGACAATAAAGCGGAGTTCACTCAATATAAATACTCCTTTTGTAAAAACGTGCATTTAAATTATAAACAACTGTAGATTTTGGCTTTTATATTTTACATTGTATTAATAAGTAAACATGTTTCCAACTTATTGAATTATTAAGAAAATAATCTTCTAATATTTTTTATAAATATGGCAGCAGAAGTTAATTTAAAATAAATAATGCCAATATATTAGTTGGAAATCAACGTTGCTAATCAAACTACATACACATAAGTTATTCAAATCGTTAACGAAGGAATACGATATACATATATACCAGGGGTAAAGCTTTAAATATTTCGTTATATTTAAATAAAACTCTTAACGGTTTAAAAAGATATCTTACACCTACGATCCTATATTAAAAACACTAGATCCCAAAACGGCACATCGATAAACAAGAGGACGCCATGAGTCAGTACTAAAATGACCCAGTAAGGTTATTTAGTAAACAGATGGCGCTAACGCGCCAAAAATGTTAACTTTGACATTAGGGACACTCCATCTTAAGTCCCCCTGTGACCACAATTGTTGCATTCGAACCTTCGGGTCGTAGTCAGTAATATTAGTAACACAATCTTGCAAACGAGATATTGTATTGAGTATTTTTATTCGTTTTTCGTAGCCACACACTTAATACTGTCTATAGTTTACGCGAGTAGTACACATTTAAATAATACACTTTAACGGTTTAAAACGCGATATATTAGTTAAACTTGAAAATGACTTTGAACTTCGGCCCGACGTTTCAAATAAGTTTAACTAATATATCGTGTTTTAAACCGTTAAAGTGTTTTATTTAAAAGCCACACACTATATAAGCCCCTGGAATATAATATAGCAGTACCGGTAAATCCTTTAGTATATGGAATAGTCTACTCTAATTTGTAAGGTCATTGTGCAATGTGCGTGTCTATAATGGTGCTTAGTGTTTTACAATTTTAAAGCCATTTTAAATCTAGTAAAGGTTCTTCTGTGTGCCTAAATATTTGCTATATTATTGTATTCATATATACTTTATATTATAAGGAAAAAGCCACTCGATTTATGAATAGTAAAAAAGTGTTTAAAACTAAAATTATGATATAATTAGATATATAGATTGACAATAACCATACGGGGCCAACCATGTAATACGTCACATGAGTTTTATGATTTTTCCCTCCTTCTTGACCTTCTTTCCTAGTGTGAATTATTTTGCAATTTATATCTAGAAAGTGTTATTAGTTCCTATATATGCGTGAGCGCACTTAAAATCAAAATAAAAGTACTCTGACTAATGTCATGTGTTGTAATCCTCTGAACCACCCCCAGCCCTTTTCCACGTGTGACGTAATATAAGTAACGCCCCCCCACCCCTCTGATGAGGTTTTATAAGTGCCTAATTTAATAACATTGTAAGTTATTGTAAAAAAAGTTAGAAAGCGTATTTAAAAATGCCAAAAATATTCAGGGTTTTTTGTACTGGGATCGCACTTTTTTGTATTATTATGACTTTTGAAAAATGTTGCATTTAAATTTATTTTAGGAAATATTTGTATGAGTTACTGTTTTAAATGGATATACCATATAATAATAATTAACGTTAGGAAATATTGATTTCTCATTATGCCTATAGCCTTGCGTATAACGCGTGGTGCTGTGTTCGAATCCCGAAAAAACATTACATCTGCAGTCTGATCATTGCCGGAACTGACATAGCGTCTAAGTTAATAATAGTTTTGTTTCTTTTAAATTGTTATTTATCACTTTCTTTATATTTTCTTTTGTATCGTTTTCGTATTGCGATACAATTTTATTTTTTATAAATTTTTACAAACCTTCGTCATGGCAGCTTTTTATTCAATTTTTTCAAATTTATTGTTGTATGATTATATAGGTGGATGTGTTTTTTTACAAAATACCAAAGGATAAGTCATCCAAGATATTAGAAATTTGTATTTTAAACTCAAAATTGATACCTATTGAAGGTATGAAAATTCTAATCTCAAATTTATATAAGTGTTGAATTAGGAATATATTTACCAAATAAAGAGCTATTTATATGTTGCTTTCATATCGGCGTTTTATTTGTGTACTTTTTTAATGATATAGGTATTAGGATATTAATGATAAGAATCGACATTATTATTATAGTTTTTGTAGACAATATATATGTGTTTCTATGAGGTAAATATTTTTAGGACCACGAGTAAGTATTAACCCGTTCCACTTCTACAATAAATTAAATCACACACCCAATTACCCTACTTTGTTTCGAATTAACAAGTAACACAACAGTGTTACTTGTTAATTCGAAAGTAGGGTATTATTTGAAAGAAAGACAGATTGACTATTTAATCGGGCAGAGTCACCCCTTAGGCTAGTTGTCTGTACAACTAAACTCTCTTCTTAGCCTTGCCACCACTACTTCTTATCCCCTCCTTGATGTCGTCATCTCATTATTCCTCGAACAATATTATATTATTTCATTTCGTTCATGGTAAGCCAATAATACTATATGGTGAGTTATTTTTTTTAAATATTATACTTTGTTAATCAACTTCATAAATAAATTAAAATAAACTGTTTATAAGTGGCGGAATAACACTAATAAGGCCACAACCTTACGTATCTTGTACGTTTATCTAATAAACTAAAATAGAATAAGATAAAATTTGATATGAACTAGAAATTAGACCTACATAAGTGAAATTATTATTTAATTATTATGTTTCCTAGCAATCTCCACCTCGGAAAGACTTATTGTGTATCTTTCTAATATGGGAACAAAAGAAAATCAAAAATAAGTTTACGCAATAGTTTATTCATCGGAAAAATCTTATTTTACGATGACGTCACATTAAGTACCCTCAAGTGGTAATTTAATAAATATTTTACAATTTAATTCTATTAATATCGTTATAAGTACAGAGTACGGCGGTTTAAGACTAAACAACAATTTATCACAACGCCGAATATGAGAGTATTTTAGTCTATTGAACTTTTATAATCTATGGTTTGTTTACAATTTTAAAATTAGGCCAATTTTTTGACACGTTTTCGCTCAAATTTAATAAACAAATTCATGTTTTTTAGTACCGAGTTGTGTATTTCATGTCATTAGCAATATAATTGAATTGGGACAAATTAAACATTTATTTAAACATTATTGATCTGCTTACTGCAATGACCAAAAACTGACAGCTGAATTTCACCGCTCAACAGCTTAGTGCACACGGGCCCTTAGAATAAGGAATTATTTTAATTTGTAAGTATTACAATCTGATTAACGAAATTAGATAGCTTAGATTAGTTGCTCTGTGTTCGTGTATGAATCTGTAGCCATTTTTATCAATTACCAGCGATAATTAGTTCCTTAACTTCTTCTCGTTTTGTAATAGGTAAAAATGAAAGATAGCAACTATAATCTTTCAACGTTATTCGGTAACCTGACCATGCCGGGAAAATAATACATAAATGGCAAGTAGCTGGGTTTTCTATCACAACCAATTCAGTTAAAACTCTTCCCATTTTTAACGTTGAAACTGATGTTAACGATCTTGAATGACAATAAAGTATATACACATGGTTTCCGAACGCGTGGAATGTTCATTTCCTTACAATATAAAAAAATATCATTCACAATAAACTTTATAACGTTTAAATAAAAAAGATTTCTAAAAATTTCGTTGAACTTTCGATAGATATATCTGTTCTTATAAGATTTTTTACATTTGCGCTACGAACTTCGTTTAAGTACATACAACAAAAAATACGACTTTTTATTTCGAAATGAGGAAGTACGATTGTACCAAGACGTTACATGACACGTATGTACGTTACGACTGGGAAAAAATAACTTACTACGCCTTGGGGGTTATTCCCAAAAATAATTATCGGTTTTGTCGATTTTCATACATGACTTTCGACGTATGTCATCACAAATCTTATAATATTTTTGGGAATAACCCCCGACCTCATTGAAACATATAAAAAGTGCCGGTCACTATCCGTCTTAAGCCTATTAAGTACAATTAGAGCTAAAAGGCGACAACCGCAACTTTATACAACGCTAACACAACGCTAAACAGATAAATACTTAACTAAAGGTATTGCACGAAAAACTGGGAAACTTTAAATACGACTCTACAATGTACATAATTACACTTAGACAGTTCTTTCACTTGGCCTGGGCCTTAGGGGGCAGGATGCCCACTGGGGTATGGGTCGAGGGGTCAGTAGAGGCGAGCAGTCTCGTGGGGCGGCTGTTCAGTGCCCACGTCGATGTCAGTGGGTCCGTCATCGTCGACGCTCGGCGCGCTGGACCGGTGGAGTCCACGCACCTGCGAACAGTCACTGAACTTCTCATACATCTGAAAAGGCACAGTAAGGAGGTTAAGTTGTTGTCAGGTCGAGAAAATTAATAATTATGATTATTTTGATTATGTTAAGTTACGGTTTAACTATCGATCTTAGACTTAATTATAAAAACTTAATTCTACTCCTTCGATACCTGGGCCAGTCTGAAAACCAACGCCGCTTAGTGTGACCAGCATTCAACAGCACAGCTGAGACTGTTACCGATTGCCATTTCTTTTTATAATTGATCTCGCTACGATTGATCATTTATTATTTATTTATAATTGATCTACGCAATTTAGTTATAAGTAATAAGTTTACTGTAAATATGTTATAATGGAAATAAAAACTTTTAAATTTGAATTTAAAAATCAAATAATGAAAACAAAAGATAATTAAGTAGTCGGTATTTACGGTTCATTGAGATTCTATGGTATTAAAAGCTTTAATCTTAAAAATAACAGAATGTTTGACAAATATATACTATGTACAAAATTAGTACATACTTATTATTATATAAATTTAAATCGATTTTAGATTTTTAAAACTTATAAAACGAATAGGACTTAGTAACTTAATACGCAAGTGTTCAGGTTGAAATTACATTGTGCGAGAGGTCAAATCAGTAGCTTGAAAAATTCGACACGGTAGCTCAATGGGTTATAGCAATAGCACGGAATGCTGTGGACGCTTCAAGCCCTGCCCGTGTCTTAATATTTCAAAAATTTAAAATAGAATTTACCCTTAATTGAGCTTTACCTAATCTTTAAAAATAACAGCAGCTTCTAATTTTTCAGAGAATACATATATATTTTGTGCAAAATTAGGAGATTATTATGCTAATATTTCAAATATGGAAAAAAAGGATCTAATGTTTCTTCTCAAATGAGTATAACCAAGGTAAACAACAGATAAACTAAAAAGTAGCTCACCTGCAGAAGGAGGTTATTGGAGAGCAATCGTGCCTGGTGCTCCTGAGCTTTGGCCCGTAGACAGGCGATGCTGTTGTTACGGAAGGCTTCAGGGTCTTCATACAGTTCCCGTCCGTCTGGGGAAGCGCGACCTTTCGCCGAAGAAGACGCCGTGGTACTGCTACCAGGTGAACTTTGCGCCTGTAATTTAAACCAAAATCGTTTATTCATGTCGAAGCTCTCTATACAAACAAACTAACAAACTCGGACTTATCGGATTTGCATATTGTATTTTTGCTACCTTTGTTAGCTGCCATAAACGAAAATATCGTATTTAAAATTGATTAGTTCCAAAGCGATATTTTACGAATATTCAGTTAGATAATTTATTTGGCGATACAAATTTACTATGTACCCCGGACTAAAACTAGCGCAATAAAGTCCTAAAAAGGGTTTGTATCCCTAAAAAGCATTGTCAGTGTGTGAAGGAGACCTAACCATTATATTCCTATATCCAAGACGGAGTGTCAACGTAGCATGACGCTGCGTAACGCGTTACGCTTAATGTGGCTTACGTTTTCTATAGACAAACATAGTTTAAATTCAGTACCTGGCCATCATGTACGTCATGCCTATGTGGCGAGGCGGAAGGTGCGCGCTCGGGCTCCGCTTCAGACCCTTCGCGTTCTGACCCAGACTCCTTGAGGTGCTGCGCCGCCTCGATCGACTTGCGGTGCATACCTGAGTACAAAGAAATTACACATTTTAAATTACCCTTGATGGAAGGGGGCATATAGGGGACATATATATGAGGGGGGGGGGGGCTATAAAAAGTTGCGCTGTCAAACTATTTTGCGATTAGACAATCGGACATATCTATTGAGGGTGGTTCATGACCTGGTTTTTAAAAAGCTTCTCGGTTAGGTATGTTGCATTTTGAACACTCTGTATAAACACGACGAACAGACAGACAGACAGAGAAAGAATAAAGTATATTTTATTTTTTTACTATCTTCCATTAAATATCAAGATTTTCCAGATAAAGCGCAAATCAGGGAAAAAATTAAATTGATTAGTTCATGCTGATGGACCCTGTAGGAATCAAACCTGCGACTCGTTTACTTATTAACCATACATTGTTGATTGTTACCACTGGATTGGATTGGATTCGAATCAAGAGGCTCTATTTTTATATCTATAGGTAACTTACTTATTTCGTTATTTACGTTTGAAACTGTCAATTCTCTAGTCTCAGCCATTATTTAAACAACTATTAACAACAACGCTCGTCATAGACGCAAAACCATTCGATATTAACCCGGATAACCAAATCAGCTAGAATGGAGGTCTTCATTTCTCACACGTTCCTTCATTTGCGATGTATCTATGCCCTCACTCTTCACTATTGAGATCGGAAAAGTACAGGGATGGATTCAGTTTGATAAAGCTCAGTTGTCTATGATTCGGAGTTATTCTATTTTGATTTCACTAACCTCTCGTTGAAATCAGAAGGTATTTATTTAAATAAAACACTAAAGCGGCACTTAAAACGCGATATATAATATTTAAACTTATTTTAACGTGTCCGACGTTTTGGATGCTTTGCAGCAACCGTCGTGGTCATGAGGACTCTGTCTCCCCATGACCATGTGATTTTAATTAATACATCGCGTTTTGAACCGTTAAAGTGTTTTTTTTTCAAATGTGTACTACTCGTGTAAACTACAGACAGGTATTTATTATAATATGTATTTGATATTACTTGTAGTGAGCTATATTAATTTACGCGTAGATATTAATTAAATACTTTCGGAACGTATGTTTTTTGACTTTTTTTAAATTTTCATACTTATTGAATAGACAAAGTGATAACAAATTGCTGAATTAAAACAAATTACAAGTACAAAGAACACGAAATGATCATGAAATTGTTTTATGGTAAATTTTTATTCAGAATGGTTAGGTTTAGATTTTATATAAAACTTTCTTCGAAATCTAGGAATTAGAAATCTAGAGAATTGGCACCAACTGAAATATTAGTATGCTCCAGTATCTTACATTATCTTATTGTAGAACAAACAGAAATTCCACCAATCTCAAAAGGATTTCAAACAATATAAGTAAACTTAAATTAAATAAGATCCCAGAAATGCAGAAACTGAAGTAAGATCATCTTTACGTTTACGGAGAAACAAAGGGCGCTAGCGTAGCGGCGACTTCGACATTGATGACTACCTCTCAGTCCCACCGTGACCACAGCTATTAAAATAAATAATAAATGTCGTATTTTAAACCAGTAAAAGTCAAATACTACTTGATTTTTTTTGCGAGAAGCTGTCATATACAGTGATATCTGGTTATATGAGAAACCTCTGTTATTGGGAGTTGCAATAAGGCCCGGATCTTATTCATTAAATCTTCTCTGTTAATAGAACTTTTTGAATCTGGTTAAGTAAGATAAGGATTTTCAGACGTTTTTTGTAAGTGTAAGGTATAACAAATTAATCAGGTTTTACAACATTTATGTTTACAAACAAATGCGGCCTCTATAAATGAGACAACTATAATTATAAACCTGCTTAAGTGTAAAGCAGTATTATTGGAAACCCTCAATAATTGGTACATATGTTTTGGTCCCTTGAGAACCCAAGCAACCAGGTTTCGCCGTACTAGGTATGCGGGGCCTCTACCATAAACCCCACCAAAGCGAAGACTGAATCCGTGCCTGTCTGAATAATAATGAAGTGGCGGATCTCGCTAATAGAACGAGACACGTACACCACACTTCATTACGTTGGATGACTGCGAACCGTATCTTTGATCTCACTTCACTACGATTACTTTCCAAATTAATTCAGGAATGCACCAATTAAAGCCTAGTAGAAGAAGGCCTTTGTGTACATACGATCTAAGATCGTAGACGTCTGTTATAAAGACTCGTTTGTACAGCACTAAATGTTCTAGAGATGATGTGTCGTCATAGTTACCATCCTTGTTATATTTTATTCGTCAAAAAATGAAAATACAGTTCTTAAGTTCTCCCTCTTTTTTTATGTTTATATTTTGTTGAAGTATTTAATTTATTAGTATAGTATATAAGTTTTATATGTAAAATCTTATATATTCTGTATCGACCTTCGGATGGGCAGAAAAACCTGAATAGGTTTGTGTTCCATTTTATTATTTACTAGCTGTGCCAGCGACTTCGTCCGCGAGAATCGTTATTTTGGGCATCCAAATTAGTTTTTGCATCTTTATAAACTTAAGCTGTTAGCCACGACGTTGAACGCGTCCCTTCCCGTCTTCTTATAAGTTAAATATAAGTTAGAAATATAGAATCGCGGACTTTTTTTTAACCGTTTAAAGGGGGTTTTTTTTTTTTTACCCTTTTTTCCCCTTTTTCCCGGCTTCCCCCTTTGAACCCCCCAGGGGTGGTTTTTTTTTTTTTTTTTTTTTTTTTTTTCCCCCTTTTTTTTTTTTTTTTTTTTCCCCCGCGTTTTTTTTTTTTTTTTTTTTCTTTTTTTTTTTTTTTTCCCCCCAAAAAAAAAATTTTTTCAATTCGAACCCATAGTTTCTGAGATTAGCGCGTTCAAACAAACAAAAAAACTGTTCAGCTTTATATATTAGTATAGATAATGTAATGTGTTTTTAATGTAAATAAATAAATATACTACCTACATACTGTTTTATTCACTACTTTTCGAATACAATATCCTCTGTGTGATTTTCAGAGAATATGTTAATTCTTAAGATAAATATATGTCTAGTTAAATTAAACTAACAAAGTTCAACACACTTTGGTTACGGGCATTCAATTTTAACTTTTGTATTGTACAGATGGCGATGCCATTACTATTTATACAATTCCAATAGCCGAAGTCAAATGCAGAAAAGAAAACATTCAGTTATGAAAAACTATTTGATGATTTAAATAGATGTGCTTTGTCAGACAAGGAAAAATATTGTCTATGTTTTATTTTTACATCAAAAACTTTTGCATCGGAATCTCGCTGTTTTAATATTAAAGGGAAGGATTTTACGAGCGTTTTACATCAGCGAGAAAAGCGATGTGAATACCTAATCAGTTCACTATCTCGTCTTTATAGCTGTCAGGCGCCACGCGATAAGTACCTACCCGTAGACGTGTTTTTCATTTGTTTTGCTTAAGTAAGGTTATAATCGAAATATTCGACACTTTACGATATTCGCATTAGGTGTAGTAGGAGTGGTACACATTAAATTATACTTTTAACGGTGTAAAAAAAACGGTTTAATCTGTTTTTAACAGCATCACGGCTTCGGGTAATACGGCGATGGGCTGTTGGTGTAATTATATTAGCTAGTTATGGCTAACAATCACGATCGTGAATTCGACTTCCCACCGGGTAAAAATTTTTGGATATTTAAGAATATCGGGGTAAGAATATCGAAATTCCGCCCGGTTCACAGATGAAATCGCTAAGTTCGATTGCTTGTCAGTTTGAGGATTTCCGATTGTATCTCGAATATGGTTTGGAGTATTTCCGATGATGCCTGGTCTATTTCGTCTACCATCAGTTGAACCTCGTGATTTTCTGTCCTCCTTTAAAAAAGTAATATGTACATAATTTTCATGAAATTCTTCAGTTGAATCCTGGTGAAATTGTGTAGATCTAGTTACATTATTATGAGATTATTCCCTGCTTTATTGAAGCACCTTTTCCTTTATAAGATGCAAGTACAGAAGCATAACCTCAAAGAATATATTAATTGACTGCACCAGCATCAGGTGTGGATGCTAGTTCAATTCCTGCCTTTATCGTATTTTTTTTTCAATCTTAAATTGATATTTAATTCAAGATTTAAGTCTGATTCTGAAGAACTTGAATAATGGGGCAACTATCTAATCGGTATAACTCGCATTAGAGATAACTCGCTAACTTTCCCTATTAGTCGGCAGCCAGGCCATAAATTCTCTTGATTTAAGTCTAACTACCACATATAGTTGGCAGATGTGTTTATAGCTATTTGTAAATAAATTCAGACTAATTATTATCAGCGATACTAAAAGACTTTAAGCATGGCATGTTCTGATTGTTGAAATTAAATAAAAAATATCGTTTCGTGGACATGATACAGGATGACTTATATCTGTGTCTGTTTCTGAACGATTGTATGCTGTATATAGGCTGATCCCATGCCTTCCTTGTTTGTTTTAAACCGTGGATATATCTCACTTAACGTACTGCGTTTAACCGTTGTGCAAAGCGGTTGTTATAAGTAATAAGAGATTATAAATACTTTCGTATTTTTCAAGTTAACTTCGAATTATTACTTAAATATTCGCATAATAATTCTAAAGGGTTTTCACCAAAGTAATGTTGATAACTAGACGGCACGTATAAGAATTAAAAAAGTAATTTTTTTTGTCAATATGTACACACACAAGTCATCATGTGTTTGTGTTCAAAAATAGTGAGCACAAACATGCACCACGCAGTTTAGATTCCACTCAATCTAATACATCCTTGAAGGAAATGGATGAATTCCAAAAAAAAATATTAGAACTTCCAACTAATATTGCACCTAAATAAACTTAATTTTTGATGTAGTCGCCCTATTTTTGTAATTTTTTAGTAGATACTATCTCCTTTATCTACAAAAAGACACAATACTAAACCACACTACTACTCAATATTGTCATTGGTCCGAATCACGCCATGTTGGTTTACATCTTTATAGGACATTTAAAAAAAATGGACTAAGTATATATACTATTGTACAGTTATGAGATAATAGAGCCTCCATCTCCTTGGAGAGTCAATTATAAAACAAAATAACATCAAAGCATCTGCTAATGCACTGCGTGATAATTCTTAGCCATTTAGAGAAGTGGCACGCGTCAGAGACAAAGGACATCACCACCTAGGTATAGCCTTGGGTGCTCCACAAATTTTTGTATCACAACGATAGGCACAGTACACACTTTTGGTAATATATCATTGCTGGATCAAAATAGGCTAATGTTAAGAAGTTACAATTTCTAATTATCACGTTTTTGTCTTTGACTTTTTCTTTTAAAAATAAATTTTAGGTCTTTGTTGTAGGGTTAGAGTCTTTTTTTCAATGAACTTTGTTTTATCTGTTAACAATGAAGACTTAACAATAGAATATATAGTTAAGTTAATACCTTACGTGATTTGTTATTTAAATTTAAGATTAAAGGTTTAAAATACACGTTTTTGACCAAAGTCGGACTACTTATTGATTGAAATCTAGATTCTTGAACTAATTTAAGGTTATTTATCGCGTGATGGCGTCTAAAACAAAGTAAGATAAACATTCAAATGGATATCACGAGCGAAAGATGATTAAAACGCGTATTAATGCGTTCGCATCGTAATTTAGTTTCGAGAACGCATTACAGTGTACACTGCGCCTAAGTGTTGGTGTCATTTTCCTAGATAAAAGCGTGATGCACAAAGCAAGTGTGTAATAGGTTGATAATTTAGTAAGATGCCTGTTGTGATCCATTTGCGCTGGCTTTGATCTGGTGAGGACTTAGTGCCACGCGCTAGTGGATTGGATAATTTCTTAATGTGAGGCTTTTTGTTTATCACTGATTGATATTTAATTGGCGGTTAGCGTTTATAGCGCTTTAAGTAATGGATCTCAACATTTATAAAGTGGCTTGAGAAGCTTTCGAACTTGATTGTGGAGCAGTGGGGCAAGTGTCTATGGATGTGGTAATGCTGAGTGGAGTTACTTTAGTTTCAGCCTTTTTTGATTTTAAGACATGACAAACGCAGCGATTTTGGGTATGTTTACAAAAAACCCTTAACTCTTGGATGTAGTAATAATCTTATTATTAAGCTTTTCTGCAATTTCTAAAAATATGTAACATATAAATTGTTTATTATTGCGACTTGTTTGACTATTAAAGTATGTATTGATGGTTACAGGTTTTTAATGCTGCAAGAATCTTTAATTTAATAGGTACGTACCTACATACTTAGATAGTTACTAGCACATTCTTGACTTTATACAACACACTTACAATATATTTTATCGTTCTTCCAATAAAAACTCGATTATAATTTGACTTAGTATCTAATTTTAGGCTTTTTAGTAAAGATTTAAACCTGAATTGGGATTACTGTCATTCTTTGAATTCAATTTTAAAACTTATAGATTTTCTTAGAAAACTTATAGATAAATAATTGATTTATTTTTATTTACGAATATAAACAAATAAGTATTAACGCAAGACGAGACTAAAACGATTTTACTCATTTGAATAAATTTTCAGATGTCCATAATGTATAGAAATTAGCAATCGTGAATGAACAGAGCCTTACGTTATGTATTGACCGCGGCCATTTTGAAAATGCGGAATTATAAAAAGCGAAAACAAACGCGACCCCTCCACCACTACATGGCCAGGTGAATAAGTATATAATTAATATGTAAAGCGGCAGCCCTTTAAATCTGCGTTAATCAAGCCTTAGACAAGGGCGGCCATCTTGGTTGGCCCCCTCCCGCGCCAGCCCGCCCCTCGCCCCTCTGCGCAGGCTCGCAGGCTGTGTGCATATCGCTGCATTCTTCAGAATGATTTGTGTGTTTTGATAGGGCAAACAATAACTGTTACTATTTCATCCATTGTTTTTCGTGTTCATTTTTCTCTTAATATTTTAATAATATCTATAATATCTACTACTACTACTGTCTGCTGCGTAAACTACACGCGAGTAGTACACCTAAAAATGAAACATTTTAACGGTTTAAAACGTGATATATATATTATTTATACTTGTTAAACGGCTCTACCGGTGACCACGGCTGCTGCAAAAAATCCGAAACGTCGGGCCGTGGTAAAAATTATTTTTAAACAAATTTAACTAATATATATTGCACTAAAATCGTTCAAGTGTTTTATTTAAATATTTATAATTTATTATTTGTGCGCCAAATTTACATACACGCATGTAGCATATTTTCTATCCGTACTTTAATATATTTTAAATGATGTATGATGGAAAGGGTACAATTGCAATTAAATTGCAATAAAGCATTTAGCAAAGTTCACGACAAAGATATTTTTTAAACAAAACATAATCGCACACTTAAAAGTATTAAAATAAAATTTAATTTATCTTTTTTTTAAATAATTCAAATAAGTCGATTGATCTATTCACGTGTATTTTATAAAGGTAACTCCAACTCCAGGTTAATGGTAGACAACCTTACTTAATTCGGAATAAAAGCAATTCGTTTAAAACATCTCTACTCGCAAATACAAAAGTTATAAAAACTTCTCTTTAACTATCTTTGTTTTTACTAAAAGCAACTTTAATTTTAAGACATAGTGCCTATTTTTTCTTGTATAGCCCGAGACAAGTGTGAAAAATTGGTATCCCCTGAGAGAGTGATTAAAAATTCGGCTTTGTTTGGTAACAGTTGTTTCATTTGTCTAGTAGCAGCCTACTTTTCTTATTTTAGAAAACCCGAAATCACTTGAATATAAACTTTAATGTCTACTGAATAAATTCAAAGAATTGAAATAATTTAATCAGTATTATTTCAATTTTATTTCTATAGTCATTTGAATCCACAAAAAATTTAAATAGTCGTCACATAATAGGAAGTACCTATTATATATTTTTTTGTTTTCACAATCAAGAAAAGTTAGTAATTTCTTATAAAAGGTTGGAACAATACGAGTAGGTACCTGAATATTTTATGCGTAATTTTTATCAATTATTTTGTTTACGACAAATAAAAAATAATAACAACACTAAGACAAGAAAAAAAGGATATCGACACACACTTTAAGATTTTGTTTGCTAATTATTTATACCCTATTTAGAGTGATGATTTTGTTGAAGCTAATTATTGTTTTGATCGTTTAGTTTTAGGTAAAATGTTTGACTCACCGCTGGGTGGTCCAGGCTGAGGGAGGCGCTACGGTCGGCCAGACTCACCGCTCGACTCTTCAACAAAATCATCACATCATACATTTGATACCAGAGTACCTACTCAGCACTTACAACGCGTGGACATTTGCTACGCGTGTATGCACTGTGGCATTATAAATGCGGCGATTTATTTATGGGCCCTTGATCATTAAAAGTTACATGTTTTAAAAATATCTATTTCTGTTTGCATATTTTCGATAAGAACAGACAGTGGTGAGTAAGAAAGTGACATTACTTACCTTGGCTTACTTAACTATGATTTTCTAATAAATAAATTAGATATCTACTAACTATGAAACGGTCTAGAAACTCCTTACAACCATAATTGACCGAAACAGACTTGTACGTTGAAATTTAACCTCTCGAGAATTACAGACAGACAGAAATAATAGGCATAGATATAGAATTTAATAACTGCTACTCTATGCAATTTCATTCACACCTTGTGTGTTACACGATTAAACTTTTTCCAGGATTGGAACAGAAAAGAAATACATTAATAAATATTTCTCTTACCAAGAAGCCAAGGAGCGACGTTGTCATTATCCTTTGCGCTCTTGAGAATGGTTTCTGGCAGTGGCAAGGAGTGTCGCACCATAGCGCCATAGAGACCGTACTCCGCCATGATGGTCGATCGACCCCAACATTTCTCCGTTTTGCGCCATTTCGCGCGACGGTTTTGGAACCAAACCTGTGAAATAAACCATAGTGTAATAAAGGTTTCGCGACTATAATATGTCACATTTGAATGTATGGATGGATAAGGGCATAAATCAATTATAATAAGTAATTGTAAGACGCATTACTGTAGCTTATAAACGCTGCTTCAGTTTCTTGTACGGTAAAGGAGGAGACAGGCAATAAGGTGAAATATCCCAGCTAGATAATATCAAAACAAAGTTCACTGTCACCAGTTTTGGCTTTGGTTTTTCGAAAATCACTACATTTAGACCAAAACACGAGTAAACATGACGTATTTTTTCGACTTTCGTTATTCCTATTCCATTCAATATAAAATTTGCAAATGAAGTCGAACGAGTTAAAAAAATATACAAACTGATTAGAGACTTTTTGCACCGTAAAGGATCAAACCCCACACCGTTTGTTTAATAGCCATCCCCTGATAATATTAGACCAAAGAGCCGGTCGAGAGTTTTATTCAGTCCAATGACATTTGGCCAAAGTTATAGATTTAACCATTTATTATGATGAAATTTTTGGTTTTTCCAAGCGAATAACTAATTTTTGTGTTACTCAAGTACCTAAATATAAGACAATGGAAATAATGGTTTTTATAATAAAACTAACTAATAAAAAACCATAAAAATTACTTTAAAAAATGAGATATTATAATTTATATGATCTAAAATTTTTGATTAATAACGTTTAAATGTCAATTGATTTGTGACACAATAGGAATTCTACACATAGGTAACTAGTATGAAACGCTGGACAATGTCCAATCGGCAACACGTCTGAAGTGCGAACGGCGCCGCGGTATTAACTAAACGAGTAAAACAAACCAATTAGTGGGAACAAACGCGACTAGATTAAATTTTCAAACTCGAGTGTAGCTCTCTACCTAACCGGTAGGGCTGTCACTAACGAGGATTAGGTTTTTTAATGGTTTGCAACGTCACACTTACGTACCATGAATTGTGTTTCAAAAATCCACCGTCAAATTATCCAGAACTTCGTTTAACTTCGGAATTGATTTATCCTTTCTTGCCTTTATCAGCATATTCAAGAAAAACCCTATTCTTCACAATTTCCAACATGCTTATTTCAATTAGAGCTATTTCTGCCTTCCAAGTAGACAAAAAGCTATTATAGCAATCGTTAAAATCATATCGCAATCATAAAAAAAGCCATTATTGGATGAATCCCCAAATATGTACGAACCTATAAATATGACGTACGAACGAACTCAAAAATGTAGTCGCTGATACACTATCACGAGAGAAAATATCAACGCCAACCTGAAAGCAGAAGTCGATAAAAGGGCTGTTTTGGCAGTCGTCACTATATCATAAATAGTACGTGCTTCTTACAAGGAAATTAATATCGTGAGTACGTACCACTGTCTTGATAATACAGAAGAGTCCGCAAGAATTAGAGACGAGAAACTTCCCTTAGTATATAAGCCTGTTCCCTAGTACTTAAAATTATTGTTATTGTAAATACGATATCATTCGGTCGGTAAATAAATAAACCAATATTATCTATAACCTCCGCAATAATTACCATCAATATTATAAATGGGAAGTAATAACTGATCCTATATAGATTAAATTCAATATAATTATACTGAATGCTAACTTGTTCCGAACATTATTTCACCTACACTTATTATTTATTTTGCTTTTACCCAAACACAAATACATACACATTTTTAGTGTCCAACTTTAATTAACATAATTATAACCTAAAATGCATCTTAAATGTCAATATTTTTAACACGGGAAGGAGCGAGACAACATTCGTTAGTCGAACTCTCGTAATAGTTTAAAAACGAGTGTAATTTTAGTATTAAGAGAGAGACGATATGAGATACATATAAAGATTCAACTGTGGTAACGATACATGCACCTCTCGCGCAAGTGTCTTCATGTGCAAAATATTAATGTTTTCCAATGTGGTAACGATGTAAAATAATTAAACATAGCACATAAGCTATTATAGCTACAATCAACACAGAGCTGTATGTTTCTGACAGCCCTACAATCTCAGTGCAGAGCGCCTGCGAAACAGTTAATTTCTAATTAAATTTGTTAATTAAACTCGATCCGCGCTCTCCGCGCAAATTAATACTCCGCCTGTATTATATTCCGAGCGTCCCCCCTCTCCCCATATAGAGGGGGGCTTCTCAAATCCGCCTACTTGCTTTGTGCGTCGCACATGTATTTACCGGGTTATTATTATATTAATGATATTGCGACGGCTTTGAGCTGAGCGATATATATTAGTTAAACTACTTTAAAATAATTTTTAACTACGGCTATGTTTCGGATGCTTTTCAGCAGCCGTGGTCACGGGCAGAAGGGGGTGCCCCCCGTGCCATAGACTTTGAACCGTTAAAAGTGTTTTATTTAAATGTGAACTACAAACAATACTTAACTATTTGAATCTAATAAACCATAATGTTTTAAGCCGTAACTCATAATAAATAAAGCGTAAAGCATAATGATCACTTAGCGGCGTTAAGGGCTTATCCGGATGCCCGGCGGACATAGCCGTTATTGATTGGACGATGCGACCCGGTGACAGACTAATTGTGCGGCGTCCGGGATTAGTCCGGGACAGCCCGGATTAGACCTGGCTACTGTAATTGTTTGCGGACGAGGCCGGCGGCGGGCTGATTATTGGAAAATTCAATTGCGATTGTTTTGTTTGTTGGAAATTGTTTTTCTTAAGACTTTCGTTATGGCTCTAAAGGGATCTTGAAATTGCTTGTATTGAAAAGAAGGGTAAAGAAGAGAAACCAGGAAGATGGTTTTAGAAAATTTGCGCTTTCTATAGCCATGTTTTTATATAGTCATCAACATGTGATATGTGTTACCTTAGGAAGACTATTATTACATAAAGCAAATTAAAAGATTAAACATAGCCCCATGCTGGTAAAGAAAGCAGCATAATTGAAACGGTTTGAAACGCGAAATATAATTTAGTTAACCGTCCATTGTACCATGTATGTACAATAAGACCCTTAATAATGCCACGCGAGTAACCGACGCTGATTCTCTTTAAACAATTTAAAAATAAAGTATTGCGACTATAGACACTTTATTATAATTAGGTTTGAACGTACTCTAAATATTTCGAAACACTAATTTTAAGTTAACAATGCTGTGTACATCAGTAATTGGGTCCTACATAGGTATCTTAACTTATTGTGATGTTAAGTAATGAATTACATGTAAGTGATCTGTTGATGTACCATAATAAATAAATAAATAAACTTCAGACGATGATAAGTTAACTAATGTAATTTGAAACCGTTAAAAGGCTGTTTCAAACGCGTACACTACAGACAATACTTATTAAGCATTGTAGTAAACAGTAGATTCGTTCTCAAAGTAATTCTGCTCGAGTTATCTGCTCAATATCCCGTACCTAACTGGCGCCGCTGTACCTATACGTGTACAGTTTACTGAATGCACGGTATCTCCGAATTCCCTAATTAACATAAAGGCACAAGGTTCGCGTAATTGTTAATTTGGCAGCACATTCGGGCACGTTAATGACGCGTGTTCTGCGAATTACACTCGTCCAACAATTTATTATCCATGTGTGACAATCCAGGGTTGCAGGGCCCCCCCCGGCGGTGTACAATCGTGTCGGGAGAGGTCTTCCTCACTGGACGCATTAGTTTGGGGTCGAATTTGTAACGTAAAACAATTTGTTAGGAGTAGCTGGTAGATTTGAAAGCTCGGAAGCTAGTTTTGAAAATAAACTCGGTTTCGGAGTATTTCTCAACTGTGTTGCGGATAAAATCGTTAATCTGCTTCGCAAGAAACTTAGTAGTTTTTAACATGCTTACATCGAAGTGAAAGTCGACAAGACAGCTCAATTGGTTGGATGCCACTGCAAGTCCCGTCGATGTCGTAAAATTCCAAGATCGCGTTTTAAACGTTAAGTTTAAGTCTTTTTATTTAAATATTAAAGGTTTCAAAGTGTCTGGCTTTTATGTTTTTACAAAATATCTATACAATTTCTCTACGTAAACCAAATTTTGTTTCATTTATCACATATAAGATTAAATTAATCCTTACAAGACTACATATATATCAAGTATCTAACTCCCAAAATAATATTGTTGTAAGACTAGTAGCCTATTCATAAAATAAATGGAAATTGTCCGTCATCCATAATTAAATAGACATAGTTAAATTACAAAATATGGTGTTTCATCCATCTAACTATTAAAGAAGAATGTTTAAGGTTTTAATGGTATCATAATCTTGTTAAACAAAATAATCTAGTAGCGATTTAGGGTTGCATAAACGTTGTAAACACTTAGAATAAGTCCGGGCCACTTCCCTCTCGTATCATCCAATCTATCACACAAAGGGATGAAGCTCAGCCGACAGAATCACAATCAAGGTGCTAAGTATGCTCCCCAGGGAAGGGAGTCCCTCAGGGTATCGTTATTGTATAAATACTATAATCCACTAACACGGTCACTTGCCCTAATCGTTTGCAAGGAAATTGATTTCGTCATCTAATTACTCACTTTGAGCTACTGGTTTTTTTGCAACTGTGCCTCAATATAACAAAGTGTAACGGTATTACAAAAATCATATCAAGAAATAATCTATATTAATATAGTGTAGTATTTTTTACGATAAATAAGGACAGACAAACATGGAGTTCGCTTGATGTTAAGTTAACCCAGCCATATAACATCGAAACATGTAGTGCTGCCGGCTTATTTTGGCTTTGGATATTCGGAAATCCACAATATGCCGACCTAGTAAGGCGCCTACGGTCGGATATTTTTAATGAAAGCAAGTTTGTAACAAATAATACTGGACTGCTTTGGATGAGAGGTTATGAGTGTGAGTATCACAAATCAGTCTAAACTAACCAAAACCAATATATATAAATAAAAAAACCAATATCAATCTATACTAATATATAAAGCTGATGAGTTTGTTTGTTTGTTTAAATGGGCTTATCTCAGGAACTACGGTAATAGGTTACGAAACATCAAGCTGCGACTAATAGGAGCGAAGAATCAGCGAAAAATGTGGAGAAAATGGGAAAAATTATGAACCTTTGTGGGTTCCGTTGCGTACCTCAAAAACGGTTTAAGATACCCATAAAATACCGATGAAAGAAAGATTCCTCTGTAAATGATCTAAAAAAATGTGCGACACTATTTATCTATCTTTGAAGATAAACTTGCAAGAACGACGGGACGCGATCGACGTCGTGGTTCATAGCTTAAGAGGTTTGCAACAATAAATTTGGATGCTCAAAATAACTATTCTACACCGACGAGGTCGCTGACGCAGTTAATATATTAGTATCAATCGATTCTTCACTCGATTCGGTGACAGCTCTAAAGAATCGGACAGTCAGCAATTTCATTACCTCGTTGACAGCTTAAATACGGCTTCGCAACTCTTGCGGAGTGCATAATTTCATTTCTTGGGAGGCGCGGGAGGCGTGTCAACCAATCAGGTGCAGCCTGGGCTAAATGGAGTTGCGATTCTGTTCCCAATTTGGCAGCAATTTGCGACACAATGCCGTCGGTCGCCTCGGCGCCGCGTCGACTTAACAAGTTAATATTCGATTGGGGTGCGTCGGACACATTTTGATTCATTTATAAGTTAATGTGCGGTTATCGAATGGTGGGTTAAACGCGCCTATTATCGGGTAATGAGAGGGAACTTTGTTGGTGCGAAGTGGCGACGACAGAGTTGAAAGTTTTGCTCTATTCTTCGTAGTAGGCACTCGTATCTTGTATCTTTTTGTCGGTAGTCGAAAATTTATCGTTTGTAGGAAATTCATTCAAACGAAAAATTTTAGCAAATAATAATATGTATAATTGTTTTTTTGACCTTTAGAATTTTCTACAAATTTAGAAGATTTTTAAGACATTTTTACAAGCTTAATTGTTAATCTTTTCCCTTATTCTATTGAAGCCATGTCTCTAATAATTATAGTTTAGCTTTGAGGGCCTTTTAAATAAAAAATAGAATATATTAAATAGAAATAATATTTTATTTTACTTAAGTAGATGAAGCAGATCTTCTATCATAACATGCCTAACATCACGAATTTATTTTCAGAACAGAAACTCTTTAACAAATAACGGAATAATTTAAAAACAACAATTGCAGTATAACAAAACGCGTGACGTCTTTTATCAAAATAACCGCTAAATTTATGTAAATTTTGTTGAAACGAAGACACAGTGGCGACTGGCTGGTTTTGTCCAATTAATGTTGAAGTACGTATTCGGACTAGAATGGATTCTAATAACAGTAATAATAAAATAATTGGTGGAAACGGAAACGTAAAACGGCTCTAATTTATAAAGTGCAAGTCAGGTAACTGATGAAGGGTAGTTAGAAAAATATTATAATAACGAGTGGTACAGACTTCCGACAGCAAGACAAATAGGACGATTCGTGTCGCGGGGTATTATTATACTGAACACGTGTGAGGCGCGAGCGATAAGCTTAAGCGATTTAGACCATCGAGAGTTTATTCTATCGTACATTTATAGGTAAAAATTTATTACTCTTAAGTAATTTAATCTACCTTTGATTTGTCTGTATAATAACTTAAAACAATCTTATTATACATTTGCATCAATCGTTTTGTTCTTGTTTCACGGAACTTTACACCTTAGTTCAGTGAGAACCACAATTTGACAGAAAAATTAAATAAAATTTCAAGGCAATATTGATAATAATTTTACTATGTATGCATAATTTAGTATTTATAGTTTTATATAGACATTAAAACCTTGTTATTTTGAAAAAGTGTTCTTTAGAAAAATCGCCATTTCTTTTCATTACTATGTCCATAATCATCGAAAGCATGTATGCAAAAATAATAATGTATTTTTTAAATTTAGAATTTCAAAAATTCTCCCTGACAGCGTCAATTCTTACCTCAAACCAAGTAACAGCTGCACTAACTGGGCAACTAGCGGCCGTGAATAAGCGATTTCGGGCAATTGCTCGGTTTGCCCAATCGAAATAATTGCTATAATATCTCGACACTGCCAGCTCTGAACCAATTGATGGCTGGTCAACAGGCGACAGTTTAAATGAGAACACGATCTCACTAAATATATACCAGACACTTAGACATTTGAACATATTATGTATCTATTCAGTTATTATTAGGTATTTCTTCCATTACTCGCAATTATTATTATAATTTTATGGCGAGCTAATCCAAAAGGTTTTTGAATTTATCACTGCTTCAGTGAGTTGGTTCCAATAGATTACAACTTTGTTCAGGACACTTTTTATATGTTTACAGACTAAAAAACCCCCAAAATTATTTAATAAACAAAGTATTATTGCTAGTTGTATTAAATAACTAAGTGTGTTAATGCTATGTGCGATTTTTTTAATGTATGTTATTTTCAGCCTGTAAATAATAATTATTTCATACAATGAATAGAACCAAACTTCAATTTTAGTATGAGATCACATAGATTCGAATCCTGAAACACCTGAAAAAATTAACTCATAGGTTACTGGAAATATGCTTGGAAAAAATCGCAATACCGATCTAACATTTCGTCCGATTCTGAATTAAAACTGACACCTTTATCATCACAGTCGTGTGCGTTAACCATTAGACATAAGACCAATTATTTAATACTTATATAGATATAATCGGTTTTAAACACTGTCTGTAGTTTACGCGAGTAGTACACATCTAAATAAAACACTTTAACGGTTAAAACGCGATATATATATACCTATATAATATTTGGAAAATATTTAAACTACGGCCCGACGTTTCGGTTGCTGCAAATAAGTTTAACTTAAATATATTGCGTTTTGAACCGTTAAAGTGTTTCATTTAAATGTGTACTACTCGCGTAAACCACAGACAGATCTTGACCGATTACATCTATGCAGGAATCTAATTAATATTTGAAAAAAGCAATCTAAATAAAGACGTTTGAAGTATGAAATCGATTGAAGTTTGAAACTCAAGCATGAAGCTCGTCCAGTAATCGGTTTCCCGCTCAAAAGACGTCTTTAATATATTTTTTAATTGCATGTGCTTCATATCCGATTATGATGCGAGTCGGTGCTCGCTAATCTCCATAGATTTGCGTTATTGCAAATTGATTTCAATAGTTGCCATATCCGCGTATCGGTTTAATATACGAATTAATACAGATTATTGGAATAGCCCGCTTTTGTGTATTTCGATATCTGTGGACTTTTTAATAGCATTGGCATTTAAGTATTTGCGGTATTTAGAATAATAAAATGTTCAAAGCTGGGATATGATCAATAATAAATTGTATTTCTATAAACAAAATATGTGTCGAACAAGTATCACAAACTAGCGCAATAAAGGTATATATACTATCCATAATACGTTCATATCCTTTTTTTAAAAGTCTTTTTACTTTTGTATTTAATTTATTATATCCACATAGATTACCATTTAGGACTTTTTATTTGCAAATAAAATATTTAATCAGACACTATGCTATTTTGCTTTTTGTCTTTTCTCTTGTACTTTAGGTTGCCTAGAGGAGGTCACTTCTTAACGATAAGGCCGCCTTTTATTAATAAGCACGTATGATTTTTTTTATATGATTTTTCCTTTTGCGATTGTTTGTATGTACCTATTACAAATATGAAAGCTGTAATAAATACAAAATAAAATAATAAATATGTACCTACTCGTTGTCGGTACCTACGCATTCCAGACACCTTAGAGGTTCTAGGTATATTTAGCAATATAGGTGGTAATATATTTCATCAGTCTACAGATGTCTGCCCCAAGTACAGCAAAACGGCATTTTAGACCATTCATACAAACAGCAAATATTTTTATTAGAATTTTTCGTTTTAGTATACCTTATTCTCATAAACGTGAAATAAGAGTTCCACATATGTTTAAACTATAATCCAAACAGGAATTAAGGTGATAATAAGTGGATAATATACCGTACAATAAGTGTAATGATGAACAAACAGAATTACCGAAAAATAACGATACGTAAACACACTCTGTAATAATAGTGTCAGCTGCTACAAGGAATGTGACAGACAAACACCCGAACACACTTGGACACACATAATCAGCTTCATTATTGTCTATTAGTTCTTGTTATTTCTCTTTGTGTATCAACTATGCACTTAAGTAAATGTATTTTTTATTGATATATACTACGGATTCGTGCGTACAATAATTATCAATTTTTATATAAAGTACTTACGTAATTTATTAATGTACAAATTATAAATATGTAAAGGTTGGTTATAAATGGCAGTTTCAAATTCAGGCCAAGTAGCGATTTCTTTTGGGTTTAACCCATAAAAAAAAACAAGATCCTCTTTGGTAAAAAAAACTATAATGAGTCTTTGCTTTGTTTCATACGTATTTAAATACCCAACACTAACAATTTGTTTCCTATTAGTATGTTATTTATTTTCACAAATGGCTACTTACTAATACACATTATCAGACTATATTTATATATCTGTAAAAGTTAGACAAAATTATTTGTATTCAATAAATTACAATAGGTTACATGCAAATTGATTAAAATAGTAATTGAGATAGGTCGAGCTTTTGTTTAGTGAAAATAACCCATTGTCTTGAAACAAGTTAAAATGTAATCCAGTTAGGTCCTGTCACACTAATGAGATGAGTTGGTGAATCAAAAGATGTCACGACAAAAGAGTTGCAACTTATAAAAGGCAAAGTAGCAGCCTATCGGCGAGCTGTGGACAAAGCCTCTAATGAGAATATCGTCTTGCCTTAATTGCTTCTTTGTTTCTTCAACAAGTAATTAAACTATATTTTACTATATAATTTTTCTTAGAATCTTTTGTAAGTCTTATATTTATTAAACGTTGTTATTTGTTGTTAAAATTATGTTGGTATACAACAAATTAAAATTATGGAAAATTAATTTGTAAATTACGATGTTATGTTAAAATTGTTCTTGTTGAAATGGTTCAGGGAAATATAGCTTACCTTTGTGTTTGAGGGTAGGTATGTACTGATTTAAAAGTATTCAAACCATAAACAATTTGAGTATAAACTATGCACCAATTTAAATAGTATATAAGTAAAAGATAAATTCTACTTTTAACTTGCTTGTTGATTTAGTTTAGATTTTGGTCGTTCGTATCTCGTAGTAGGTATATCTACTTGATTAGGTAGTTTTTAATTTCATTTTGACGAGTAATTCTTGTATGAATTAATAAACCGTCGAAAAGAAAATTATAATTATAATTTAGTGCAGGTAAAAAGCATTCTCAGGTAGATATGTATTAATAAAATAATGTAGAGTCACCACAATTAGTGTTCAAAGAGCGAATCGTTGTTATTCCAAGAGCTGTCATTGTTCCCGCCATTTGATAGCGGCCGCCATCTTGCTGTCACCTGTCATTATTGTAAGCAACGGAAATGATGCATTATATGCATTTCCATTTTCAAATTATTATTGCATTGAGAACGTTACATATTATCTTTAGAAATACAGTGTTATTAAAGGTGATAACACAAGGTGACGCTGAACTTGCTTTGCTTTATGGACTTCTAGTATCAGAAAATTCGATCAAGGATATATTTTCCATTTTCAAATAGTATTACAATGTG